ATCAGATACCTTATACCATTGTATTTGTTTGAATAAAAAAGAATGCCAATTACCCAAAGAGTTGCTCAATCAATGAAATTAGTAGTTCAAGCAGAAATTGAATACCTTAGGTTAAAATGATAGTATAATTAATTATATATTAGTCCATTTTCAGAAGTGTCTTAGGATCAATCAAAACTATGTGAGTTTTTGTAACATTTCCTTAAATAAAAGCTTGACTGCTGAATACATTACAGATAGAAACAGATGCAAATTATTTTTAAAATTATTTATTCTTCCTAAAAGAATAAGCCTAGCCAGGTCTCTGCTTAATTTTATCTTAAAGTAATACAAATTTTCTATATAGGTAATTTTCTTCTGCAATAGGAGTCAGAATGAATATAACCTTCTGTGTAGGTTGTCTTTTTAACAGAAAATATACTGTAAGATAAACTTACACTGCAATTAATATGAACATTAAAAGTTAGCTATGCTGATGGAAAGATTTAATAGTCTCATAAAAGTTTAAGGGTAGGGAAACATTCAAGGCATTGACACAGCTATGACTCAAACCACATTTTTTATCTCTCCTTCTACATCTGCTGCTGTAACAAGCAGACTTGCCATGCAATCAACTTTTTTTTAGACTTTGAGTTTTAGCATAGGCTGTCATAGTAATAGTGTCTGGGTTCCTAGGTCAGACATACAGTGAAAGATTATGGGAATTATATTTCTACTCATGGACTTCTGGAACTTTTAAGAAACTACCACTGTTAGACTCAGCAGTGGGACCTAAATTTGAAAACAGTCCTTCTCATCACTTGTTCTGGTGTTGCCACTTGCTCTGGTGATGCCACTTGCACAGTGATAGCTTTTACCCAGTTAGAATTCACATTTTCAGTTGTAGTGTCCCTGCTGGGAAAGGACTGAAGTGCATTCAAAATTATAAGTATCATTTGTATTAATGGCAAGTTAACACCTGGTATTGGAAAGAGGAGGATGACTTCCGATTAAGATGACCAGAAGCAATGAATGGCATGAAGTTCCACAGACAGGTCAACTAATGTGTTGAGAATTGATGTAAGCTTAAAGCAAAGATGCTAATGATAAAGAATTATCTTTTTTCCAAAATGGATTGATTGCTTCAGATTGTCAAACAATTTATAGTAAATAAATTAATGCATACAAATGTATGCAGAGCTATCTGTGCATTGTCAGTTAAGATTCTTCTGGATTAAAATGTGTAATCCAATAAACTGTAAGGTAGCTGAGCATGAAATAAAACAGGCTATGATGTCTACCTAAAAGACTGATTATTTCAGAAAGGAATATAAAGCAGCTGGTAGGCAGGATCGTTAGCCTTCTGGCAATAAGGAAACAGAGGTGGTATAGCTTAGGACAGTTTCTAATGCTAGCAAAAGTACAAATACTTATGAATTATGAAGATAAGGATCTGTACTCACTTCTCTTCAGATCAACACAGCCATGTAAGCTTGAGTGCAAATTCTGTAAGAGCAGTCTCGGTGTTCAAAGGCATGTTGCTTTTCCTTATTGGGATGCATCCTGGTTTCAGCCGGGCTAGATTTAAGATTTTTTCTAGTAGCTGGTGCAGTGCTGCATTTTGGCTTTAGTGTAAGAATAATGCTGATAACACACTGATGTTTTAGTTGTTGCGGGGCACTACTTACCCTAAATCAAGGACTTTTCAGTCTCATGCTCTGCCACTGAGGAGGGACATAAGCCAGGGGGGAGCACAGCCAGGACAGCTGACCCAAAGTAGCCAAAGGGATGTTCCATACCACAGAACGTCATAAATAAACATAAACTGGGGGGAGCAGGCTGAAATGGGCTGATCACTGCTCAGGGATTGTCAGATGGTGGTGAGCAATTTTATTGTCTATCACTTGGTTTTGGTTTTGACCGTTTATGTTCTTGGGCGGGGGGTGGGGTGGGGTGTTGTTCTGTTATATTTTACTTCTATTTCAGTTATTAAACTGTTCTTATCTCATGGCTCTTTACCTTTTCTCCCATTTTCCTCCCCATCCTACCTGGTGAAGGATGAGTGAGCAAAAGCTGCATGATATTTAATTGCCAGCTGAGCTTAAACCACAACAGGATGTCACAGTTAGTCACAGTTTCCTATGTTTCAGATGAAGGGACAATAAGAAGTTTCTGATCACTCTGGGAAGAGAAGACTGGAGATGAAAATAGTCCTGTTTTAACCTTATAGCCCGAGAAGGAATCGTGCTTCATGTACAGGCAGGCCAGAGCTGGAGCAGAGAAAATCAGTCAGTAAAATTTAGTGGTACTTTTCAAAGTACCTTTTCAAAGGGTTAGACTGATGCATATTGCCTAAAGAAAGGTGCATTGCTCACCTGCATAGGAGAAAACCACCAGCATATGAAAACAGGTGAGAAAATTTGGGCTGTTCAGCCTGGAGAAGAGAAGGCTGCGTGTAGACCTCATAGCAGCCTTCCAATATCTGAAGGGGGCCTACAAAGATGCCAGAGAGTGACTCTTCATCAGAGACTGTAGTGATAGGACAAGAGGTAATGGGTTTAAACTTAAACAGGGGAAGTTGAGGTTAGATATAAGGAAGAAGTTCTTTACTGTAAGGGTGGTGAGGCACTGGAACAGGTTGCCCAAAGAAGTGGTAAATGCTTCATCGTCTCTGGCGGTGTTCAAGGCCGGGTTGGACAGAGCCTTGATGAACATAGTCTAGTGTGAGGCGTCGCTACCCATGGTGGGGGAGTTGGAACTAGATGATCTTAAGGTCCTTTCCAACCCTAACTATTCTATGATTCTGTATTGAATTGAGGGATGATACATCTTTATATGAAGGATGATTACCTTTCTCAGTCCCAGAAAATGTATGAAGCTGGTTCCAGATCTAGAAGTTTCATGTCAAAAAAAACGTGAATGGAAAACATGCAAGTTTCCGACTTACACCTGTGAGCATACACATCCAATTTAAACTAAAAAGTGATCAGATCTGTTGTGTACATGGAGTTGCTGTTGCAGTTTGCAAAGAATGTATATGAATTAAGTCATGGGGGCTCTTTTTCTGGAGCAATAGTAGTTCCAAACAGGAGACTGCCTGGAAAACACATAGAGGAAAAGAAAAGCTCAAAATAAAGTCATTCAGGAGTCTTCTAAATATTTCTAGTAAGCATTTCTGAACTAAAAATTCTAGTGGCCTAAAAGAAATTTCAAAGATGGGAGATGTCTCTGAGGTTTCATAAGAAGGTAGATCTGCTAAAGTAACCATCAGGGAAAGGTCTCTGTAGACAGTTTCTTCTTTTTTTTTCCTCTAAATGGTTTGTTCTTAGTGGTCATTACTGAATTTATTTTCCAAGAAGGAATATAAATTGTATATTCTTCTAGTGATAAAATCCCAAAGGAATAAAGGGCGACTACTTCATTTCTATCATGAGTGTTAAGTGAATGATACCCTATGTAAGGGTGAGACAAGTGCACATATTCTTTCCTGTATCCCTAACAGGAAAAGCAGAAGGTCTAAAACCTTTTGAGATGTATTGAGGGAAAAGAGGAAGATGTTCAGGTTAAGACAAGGCTGTACTGGAGAAAAAATAGCAAATAAAAGAAAACCACTGCTGAAGACCATGCCTTTATGATAAAAGGGTGTTTCTAATTGACTAGAGCAGCCAAAGGGGCCAAGTGAAGAGTTTTCCTGGTGTTTTACAAAATATTAATGGTCTACTTTTAATTTGAGCAATTGAAGTGAGGAACACTCTGAACAGGTAAGAGTATTGGAGATTTCTGGACACTGCACTAAGAAACTTTTCATGAGAAAATATAGAGCCTGGCCTGGGTGCTTTAAAATGTAAACCATGTTAGTGCTAGGAAGCAGCCATGTTAAAAGATCTGTTGAAATAAATGTAATTTACTTCAAGGAGCCTGCGTTTTGTCTTCTGAAGAGAATTGCAGAAATACCTCAAAAGAATTTTTCAGAGTAAAATACAGTTTATGTGGAGACATATTTCTGAAGCTGCATTCTGATCTGGTTTCTGGTTCTGTTTTCTGCTTTCTTCTTCTCCCAAGAACCCTCTGCACAAAGCAAAGCTAACCCTATAGCTTTAGTAGCTTCTGATGACAGGCAGTAGTATGTAAATTTATCATTCATGTAGAAGGTAAGAATGAACAAGCTGTTTAGAGGGATTCTGTCTGTAAACATTTGTTATTCAGTCTGGACAGTAATGTTTTTACCTTTACTTTTCCCTCCCTTCCTCCCCCCCAAGTTTAACATGGTGTCATCTCTTACAACCTTTTTGATGGACTTTCTGTTGCACCATGGCAATGTTCAGTAGAGCATCTCTTTTGCTGTGAATTCCTTGAACTTACATTGTCACCCCATCTCAATTATGTTTTGGGCACAATATGCAGTACGTGCTGTATACCTTGTTTTAGATGCTCCCTGGAGCTTTACAAATGAAGGGAATCTAACCGTTGCCTGCAAAGTAATTTTATAAGACATGATGTATCATTTTTATTTGTAGCTGTTACTATGGTCTACAAGGAGCTTCACAAGCATCAGTTAATTTTTACAGAAATCATTCTTCATGATAGGCAAAAATGAAAAATCCTTTGGGTCTGAAGCCTTTATTTGAGGGTACATCATCCTAAACTTCCTTCAAGGAATTTCTTTGTTAAGCCAATTCAAAATTTACTATTTGTTATAGGAGTTACTGAGGTTAAACTTGGCATGAGCATCTAAAGAATTTAAAAGCATAGAATCCTGTAGGTGAAACAAAGCAATAAAAATTTGCATGATTACTGAATCAATATTATACCATTTCCTGTATACTGAATTCCTTCATTTATGGTGAAAAATACCTGTCTGTTTACCTCTTATCTTCTGTAAATATCGTGCTTATTTTTTTACTCCTCCTCTTTCCTCCTCCCATTGTATCTCCTCCCCTGTGATAGAATCAATTGCATCAGTGGATATTATATAAAGAAAAGGTTTCAGTGAAGTTCCCAGTTCACCCACCTTACCCACCATGGGGCTAAGAGTTGCCAGCCTTTTTATGCTCTGGCTGGCTCTTTCCTATGCAAATGAAATAAGAAAAGGTAAGCTCTAGAAATTAAATGGTAGCAGACTGCCTTGTGGAAAAGAGGGAGAGAATTAAAATACCACTGCAGAGGTAGAAAGAGGCAGCGCATTTAAATAATGCACGGGAGTTTTAAGGTACCTCAAATTTCTTAAACTTTCAAATACTGAGGCTACATGGCTCAGCAAGCATAAGCAGATACTACTGTCTTTGGAGAGATTGGTACCAATATCTACTGCATTCATCTCTAGTTGGAGGTGCTTGGAAAAATTTTCAGTGTTACTTTTCTTTCACTAGGTATGACTGGACTTACTTGGCAGAAAGCAACTATGGGAGTTTGGGAGGTTCATTGTTACATCAATGAAGAAAGTGGACAATTGTGCCTTCTGTTAGTTTGGAATGACATAAGTGCTTTCTTTAAAAGTGAATATACTAACATTGGACAAAGATGATTTTGTCATTCAGGACATTAATAATCCTGTAAATGCTCTAATTTACTCTGTTATCAACTTTGTTTGAAGTGTTGAAATGGAGCTGTCATACTGAAAGCTATTTTTGGAGGGATAGGTGATGAATTTTGAGCCATGATCACGTTTGGGATGTTGGTCTTGCTCGCTGCATCTTGAATTTAGCAATGGGAGGAAAGCATTATCTTATGGGTTTTGTCCCAGCTGTGAGTTGTGGGAGAGTCTCTATGTAGCCTTCATTCTGGGAAAGAAGCATATCAGCTTCTGGATATATCTGGTATGATTGATGCCATCAAAGTACAATAACTTAGAGGTCCCCTTGATAGTTTCGCTTTCTCAAATTAAACACTGTGAGATACTTTTGTGAAGGTGAGCGGCATGTGTGCTTTTGATACCTTGGCAAGCTTCTCAGGTATGCTCAGCTTTTATGTTTACCCCTAATCTACAGCATCTTGAGATTTATCACTTATTGTGTTCATTTGTATTATTTGTTGGTACAAATGGCTGGGAAAGGAACAAATACCATAATCAGCTTCATCTTTTGCTGTTGCAAAATTAATTTTTTTTTGTCTCCTACCATGGTTATTTTCTGACTTATCTTATGAAGAATTTCTATTTGGTAACAATAGAAATCACTACTCTGTTAGTTAAAGAAAGAATTCTTTTAAAACTTCTGCAGCATACAAATCCTTTCAGTACATATAAGCTATTTGCCTTCCAGAGTAGGAGTGGTAGTTCCTTGGTTTCCTATCTTTGTTTTCATTTTAGTGCATGTTGCATCAGAGAAGAAAATAGCTCTTAGAAATATTTAATACCGTTAAAAATAATACTGTGACTCAGAATAAAATCATGTGTTTGGTAAAGCACCTCATTGCACTGATGAACCATCTTGTTAGTGGTCAGAGGGTTAAGTTTCCGCACCTCATGCAGACAAGTTCCTTCACCTCAGTGAGGATTATGAGATATGCATGAAAAACAACAAGGTGGTTGGTGACAGCCAGCATGGCTTCACTAAGGGGAAATCCTGCCTCACCAATTTGGTGGACTTCTATTTTGGGGCTACAAACTGATGGACAGGGGTAGAGCAGTTGATGTCATCTGTCTGGACTTTTGCAAAGCGTTCAACACTGTCCCACACGACATCCTTGTATCTAAATTGGAGAGAAACCAATTTGATAGATGGACTACTCGGTGGACAAAGAACTGGCTGGATGGCCGCACGCAAAGAGTTGTGGTCAATGGCTCAATGTCCAGCTGGAAACCAGTAACAAGTGGTGTCCCCCAGGGATCAGTGTTGGGACCGGTCTTGTTCAACATCTTTGTTGGTGACATGGACAGTGGGATTGAGTGCGCCCTCAGCAAGTTTGCCGATGACACCAAGATGTGTGTTTCAGTTGATACGCTGGAGGGAAGGAATGCCATCCAGAGGGACCTTGACACTCTTGTGAAGTGGGCCAATGCCAACCTTGTGAAGTTTAACCATGCCAGCTATAGGCTGGGGGGAGAAGAGATTCAGAGCAGCCCTGCACAAAAGAACTTGGAGGTGCTGGTTGATGAGAAAATGAGCATGAGCTGGCAGTGTGCGCTCGCAGCCAGGAAAGCCAACAATATCCTGGGCTGCATCAAAAGGAGCGTGACCAGCCGGTTGAAGGAGGTGATCCTGCCCCTCTGCTCTGCTCTTGTGAGACCCCACTTGAAGTACTGTGGACAGTTCCGGTGTCCTCAACATAAAAAGGACATGGAACTGTTGGAACAATTCCAGAGGAGGGCCACAAGGATGATCAGGAGACTGGAGCACCTCCCTTATGAGGACAGGCTGAGAAAATTGGGGCTGTTCAGCCTGGAGAAAAGAAGGCTGCGTGGAGACCTCATAGCAGCCTTCCAGTATCTGAAGGGGCCTATAAGGATGCTGGGGATGGACTCTTCATTAGGGACTATAGTGATAGGACAAGGGGTAACAGGTTCAAACTTAAACAGGGGAAGTTCGGGTTAGATACAAGAAAGAAGTTCTTTCCTGTGAGGGTGGTGAGGCACTGGAATGAGTTGCCCAGGGAAGTTGTGAATGCTCCATCTCTGGCAGCGGTGTAGTGTGGGGTGTCCCTGCCCCTGGCAGGGGGGTTGGAACTCGATCTTAAGGTCCTTTCCAACCCTAACTATTCTATGGTTCTATGATTCTCTACCTGGCTTTTGGAAGTATTTGTTAATGTCTTAATTTCTTAATGTCTTTAATTTTAATTAATTAAAGATTTCCATCTCTTTTGCTTCGTGGGTAGATACTTGAGGTTTGAGATCTGTGGCATCACTGTGCATGAAATTGCAAGTGCTTTCTCCTGTAAAATGCAACACAACCTTTTTTGATGCTAGCTCGCTCATTTCACTTTTCTCATGCCTGTTTCTTTTTCATCACTTAACAGGCAGGACAAGAAACCATGGTCACTATGTCTGCAGCACTTGGGGAAACAACCATTTCAAAACTTTTGATGGAGACATCTACCAATTCCCTGGCATTTGCGAGTATAATTTTGCTTCTGACTGCCGAGAGCCTTACAAGGAGTTCTCTATCCATATTCAGCGTGCTCTGAACACCAATAACCACCCTGAGATCCAGTATATTCTGCTAACAATCAAGGACTTTACACTGTACCTCAGACCAAAACTGGTTGTTGTGGATGGGCAGATGTAAGTTCCTTTAGTGTAATAAATGTGCTGGGAAGTTAAAGCAGGATTAATTCTTTACACAGCTGTTTGTATACCATTGAGGAAACTATTACAAACATTTCCTTGTGCAGAAAAAAAAAAACCTTGAAATCCAGCATAAGAATTACTTTGGAGAGGGACTTTAGTATTAGGCATCGTTTCTTGCAAGTAAGGAAGAGGTTTGAATGAATTGTTCTTCTGGTTGTGCAGGAAACAATCCAGCACGTGATCCAGGCATAAAATGACATAGTTTCATTTGTTTTATGGCGTCACCTGGAGTTTAGCAGATGATCTAGCAGATCCTCAGAAATGAAGATGCATTTCTGTAGGGTCTTTTCCTCTCATTTTGTGGCAGATCATTTTTTCTGATCTAAATAATTTTTTAAGGTCTGATGGTCGTTCCTTAAGGGATTGTAACAGATATTATGCAGGTCAAAATTTACACTGATTTGTACATAATAATATGTACTTCTTCACAGTGAGCGGTAGTATTTTAGTTCTCCTGGAACATGGTTGCACAAAGAACTAGTCTGACACCATTATTTGCCTGAGATAAATAGCTGGAAAAATCCCAGCGACTAGAAATTAGGAGATAAAAATTCTTCCAGTCAAGAGATTAGTGAAGAGGCGATGGGCAGAGACATGAATCTTGTAACAATTATATTGGCAAATCTATAGACATTTAACTGGTTATTTTTACTGGATTCCAGTTTACTCCTGTTTGAACAGAATCTAGTTCTCTAGATTTTATAGGATGAGGCTGCTTACCACAATCCCTTTATTGCTGAATTAAATTCAGTAGTGCACTGTAAGACAGATGCGCAGGAGCAGGAGAGAGATCTGGTGAACTGATTCTTTGTCATACAAAACCATCTGTGCTCACCCTTCTTCAGAATGTTTTCTGTCACATTATAATGTCTTGCTGTCACCATTAACAAGCTTGGTCCTGTCAACTGAAAAATAGTTAACTAAGTACTGCAACAAACTACTGAATTCCTCTTTACATTCTCCTTTCTTTTCAAACTTCTGTTGACAGTCCTTGTATCTGCCTGTGCTTTTTAAACACTATTTTGAGAAGGAAGATCCTTGCAAAGGAACATTCATTTTCCTTGAAATGGTTGTCAAATCTTTTGGTAAAGAAAAGCTTCCATTTATGTTTTTACTTATTTCTTTGAAGTAAATTATTAGTGAGTGTTTGGATATCCTCTGTTAATAGCACAATGAGGATGGATTTTCTTTTGATTAAATTGAAGACATCTGACATTTTGGCTTTTTTCGTAAAGAATCTGTACCCTTAGGGAGGCTTTGCCTCTGAAATTGTTTTGCCTTTTAAAGGCGGTAAGTTATGTCAAGTGCCAGAGAGGAGGGTTTTGTGGCTCATTAAAACAAGGCTCCCTGTGCAGCTAAATTCAGGTGGACAGGGACTGGTTTCTCTATTCATTAGGGTATTTTGCTTATTATAGACAATCATGTCATCTCTTATGTTTCTGTACTAATGCAAAATCTCTGATTTTCTTCCTAGTGTGAAGACACCTTACTACAGCTCCGGTGTGGTCATTGAGAGCAATGACATTTACACAAAGGTTTATGCCAAATTAGGCCTGATTCTGATATGGAATCAAGAAGATGCACTGATGGTATGTATGACCCATGTCTTTTTTATTGACATTTTACTGGGTTTAACAGACTACTGTATACTAAACAGAAGTTGACTCTCACAAACTGAACAGAGCTAGAGTGTTGGGCTGACTCACCCAACTGACGCTCATAGTACCTTATTTTAAAAACATAGAAGTTCCCTTCTCTGCAGTGTGATATAGATAGCAGATGGCATGCAGATATTCTTACTGGTCTCAAGAAAGAGAAAAGAAATGTTCTGAGAAGTAGCTAATGTTTTTGCTATAGCACCCCCATAATCCAATCTGTGTTTTCCTTCATTTGTCTTTTGAAGTACTGCCACCACCTACTTTCCTAATTTACAGCAAGACTTAAATTTCATCCCAGTATGCAATTAAAAAAAGAGAAAATTTAAACCAAAGCAGTAGTCTTGTGATTTTAAGAATACTTTACTTTTCATCTTTATCACTACTTCCGTTATTGAAATACAGAAACTTCAGTCACTTCTTTCTGTTTACTGTGTTACTTTTTGCATCTGTGTGTTTATTAACTATGTTACAAATTTATTTGCCACTTTTCTGAGAATTTAGGGTTCACCATCACTCCTGTCATTTAGTAACTTCTCTTTCAAGTAAAAGTATTTGTTTTGGAATGTCTTCATGGACCAGATAACTCTTTTCTGTTTTTCCTTTTTCTTTCCATTATCTAGGTAGAGCTGGACAGGAAATTTAATAACCATACATGTGGTCTGTGTGGGGATTATAATGGAGTTCCAGTTTACGATGAGTTTATCAATGGAGGTGAGTCATCCTACCATAGTGACAGTTATCACAGAAGATAGTCAGATAAGCATTGTGCATAAGAGAACAACAGGAGAGCGAATTTCACCTGAGGGATTTCTATGCCCCAGAATAAATATTGTGTTCTAGTGCTACATTCCTGGTCTAAGGTTATTTTATTCCCAGTAAATCATCTTGCCCTTTTCCCTACTGGCCTTATTTAACTCTAAATTTTTAAGCATGCTTAGACATAATAGACAAAATTGAGAGCTAGGCCTATGTCTGATAGGCACATTTGATAACATAGTAACCGTTTTCTTTGATCAGTAGGGTCCCAGGAATCAAATGCTCCTTGTTGTCAATTTCTGGGGCTCAGGAAGTCCTCTTTGTAATTTTTTTCTCATAGATGAAAGCTACAATTCAATTACATACGGGAATTTACAGAAGATCAACAAACCCAATGCCAAGTGTGAAGATCCTGATGAAACTCAGGCTCTTCCAAGCTGCAATGGGCATGTGAGTATTCCTAGTGGTGAACTTCACTTGCATGGGCACATGAAGACATCCTTGTTAGTGTGTGTGGAGCTGGAAAAACATAGTACCTTCTAGGGCAAATGGTTTCTTCTTCCTTCTTGAATAACTATTGCTGTTCAGAAGGCAAGTTTTTGTGACAAAGGAGGAAGTGTCTAGAAGCTCAGGTGTTTACATATCTCTGAAATATTATTCTTCTTTCTTAGCGTGATGAGTGTGAGAGGCTGCTGACTTCCTCTGCATTTGCTGATTGTCGTTTACGTCTTAATTTGGAAATGTACATCCAAGCCTGCATGCAGGACAAGTGTGCATGTAATGGAAGTGAGGACTCCTTCTGCCTCTGCAGCACCATCTCTGAGTATTCTCGCCAGTGCTCACATGCGGGTGGCCGGCCGGGTGAATGGAGGACACACAGCTTTTGCCGTAAGCAGCTATATGAATTTTACAAAGAAATATTTTGTGGCTATAGCACTTTAACATTTTCATTTAAATTAATTCTTTCTCTACACAAATTATATGTAATTAATCCATACCTTACAAATTTCATGCCAGTAGTGCAATAAACTGCATAATATATTCTTCTTCTTTTCTTCTTCTATTACCCTTGTTATTAAGAAATCATTTTCAGCAAGTAGAAATTCTGTTCCCATTGAAAACCTGTGAGGTCTGATGCTGCAGATGATTGGGATAATCTGATCTATTTGAAACCAAAAGAAGAAAATATAAAAAGCAGGGGAAGCAGTTCAGAAAAATGCTTTGCCAGATGATATCTGGCTTGGGACATCACTGACTTGAAGGGAATAGGGTATATAATCTGTGGTTTCTGAGGAATGATGAACTTTATATACAAATAACTGGTGGTGACTTTCTCATTCTTTCAGCTAAAACCTGTCCTGATACCATGATCTACAGAGAAAGCAGCTCACCCTGCATGGATACTTGCTCACACTTGGAGATCAGCAGCCTTTGTGAGGAACACTACATGGATGGTTGTTTCTGTCCTGAAGGCAAGTGTTATTCTAGGTGTTGCATGTGAACAAAACCAGGAGCTCTGGCGAAGGAGGTCAAAGCTAAAATATTAAATGTAGTCAATTTATATCTTAAAAATTAGTACTACTGTTCATTATTTCCCCCTAGGTGAAAATTATTTATAAGGTTTTTAAACAATATCATTATTGATTAATCAATGATTTTATTCTTAAATCATATACAGGTAATAAATCTGGTTTTTACTTCTTATTTCTGCTAATATATAGAAAATCATGCTTTTTAGGTTCAACAACTGTGATACAATGGATGTCATTTGCCTAGAGAGTGATAATGAGGGTCACTGAGTGAAATTCTCAGACTCATTGTCGACCATATTTAAAGTCATGGCAGTCAGGTGAAGTTCCCGATGACTGGAAAAAGGGTAATATAACCCCCATTTTCAAGAACGGGGAAAATGGATGACCCAGGGAATTACAGACCAGTCAGCCTCACCTCTGTGCCTGGCAAAATCTTGAACAGATTTTCCTGGAAGGCATGCTAAGGCACATGAAAAACAACAAGGAGCTTGGTGACAGCCAGCATGGCTTCACTAAGGGGGAATCCTGCCTGATCAATTTGGTGGCCTTCTATGATGGGGCTACATGCCAAGTGCAAGGTCCTACACCTGGGTTGGAGCAATCCCAGGCATAGCTACAGGTTGGGTAGAGAAAAGATTCAGAGTAGCCCTGCAGAGAAGGACTTGGAGGTGTTGGTCGATGAAAATGAACATGAGCTTGCTGCAGTGTGCGCTCACAGCCCAGAAAGCCAGCCGTATCCTGGGCTGCATCAAAAGGAGTGTGACCAGCAGGTCGAAGGAGGTGATCCTGCCCCTCTGCTCTGCTCTTGTGAGACCCCACTTGGAGTATTGTGGACAGTTCTGGTATCCTCAATACAAAAAGGACATGGAACTGTTGGAACAAGTCCAGAGGAGGGCCACGAGGATGATCAGGAGACTGGAGCACCTCCCGTATGAAGACAGGCTGAGAAAGTTGGGGCTGTTGAGCCTGGAGAAGAGAAGGCTGTGTGGAGACCTCATAGCAGCCTTCCAGTATCTGAAGAGGGGCTATGTGGATGCTGGGGATGGACTCTTCATTAGGGACTGTAGTGATAGGACAAGGGGTAACAGGTTAAAACTTAACAAGGCTAAGTTTAAATCGGATGTAAGGAAGAAATTCTTTACTGTACAGGTGGTGAGGCACTGGAATGGGTTGCCAAGAAAGTTGTGTATGCTCCATCCCTGGCAGTGTTCAAGGCCAGGTTGGATGAAGCCTTGGGTGACATGGTGTAGTGTAAGGTGTCCCTGCCCACGGCAGGGGGTTGGAACTAGGTGATCTTAAGGTACTTTCCAACCCTAACTATTCTATGATTCTACTGTCAACCTCCAGGAAAAATATTACAATGATAGTCTACAGAATATGCCAGAATGACTGAAAATCTAAACATGTGAAAGTCTGAGATTGTTCTTGTGTACTTGCATTAACCTTTTTGTCTGTGTGTAGCTATATAAACAAGTAGACTTAGGTTTTCAAAACTGGATTAAAGTGCTTCCCATGTGTCTTATAGAAAGCACAAACAGTATTCTTCAGTTTTGATAATTTCAGCCTTTGCTTTCTGTGCTGTATTGAGAGCATGCCTCCTCTGAGAGTTTCTCCTCTCTGGAAATCACTTCTTTCAGGAACAGCTGGAATAGTTTACTGTTGTGCTTTACAGGAGCTGTGTATGATGATATTACTGAAAAAGGATGCATACCTGTTAGCCAGTGCCACTGCAAACTCCATGGAAATGAGTATTCACCTGGAGCAAGCATTACCAATGAATGTGAAGAATGGTAAGGATCACAGTTGTTTATATACCTTTCTTTGCTTGATTGTAAATGGGTCTGTGTTTTTCAGTCTTCCACTTAGTCATAGGAGACTTCCTGAAAACATTCTGAAATTAGCATTTATATTGCATATTTATACAACCAAATCTTTTTAAAGTTTTCCTGTATCTATGGCATGTGGCAGAGGGTAAATCTTAAGGAAATGGTAAAATATCCATTTTTAAAACACTTGTGGTTTTCTTGCTGTTTGCTAGGTATGTAGATGCTTTCAGTGCTCTTAGCTCCTGTAATACCTACAAGCATTTTTAAATTATTTGTCTGTTTATAGCACCTGTGATTCAGGCAGATGGACATGCAAAGATTTACCTTGTCCAGGCACATGTTCAGTGGAAGGAGGCTCCCATATTACCACCTTTGATGGGAAGAAATACACCTTCCATGGAGACTGTTATTATGTGTTGTCCAAGGTACTGTGCACTGTAGATCTTTTCTCTTTTTTGAGTAAATACAGATGTCTGTGCACTGATATGTATCAGCTGCCAATTGTTTTATTCCATTTTTATGGGATGAGGGAATTATAAATGCTGAAAACTGTACTGGAACATTTAGGTGGGGCTGTAATAGCGCTTCTGGGGAGTTGAGCACTTACTACAATGGGTTGTTAACAAAGTGAGATAGTAGACTATGTATGCTGTTATTATCCAGTGGAGTCCTTCATGTATAAGAAATCAAAGGATCACTCTGGCTGCATGAATATGTAGGCTACAAAAATTGGCGGTTCTTAGGTTTAGATGCTTTCAACCAGATTGGTAATAGCTGTTCATGTGTCTAAGTGTCAAAGTCAGCTAGGGAAAGGAGCTGGGCCTGTTCTTCTAGAGAACGACAAAGATCTTGAACTAGAAATTGTAGGCAGTTTGGATTCCAGAACCAGTGCTGAAATGGTGGTCTTAATAGCTAAGTTCTAGAGTAATTGTTATTGTAATTGATTACTTTAGTCTTTGTTTTGAAAATAATCTTGTGAAATCTTTGATTTGGCTAATGGGTATTTATTTCCGTGTGATTGTAGGGTTTTGTAAATGACAGTCATGCTCTCCTGGCAGAACTGGCTCCCTGCGGCTCCACAGACAGGCAGACCTGTTTGAAAACTGTTGTGCTGCTAGTAGATGACAAAAAAAATGTAAGTGTTCTGCTAGATATGTTGAAAATTAGCATATTTCCATTATTGTACAGCAATAACTAATCCTTCTGGAGTCACTGTTGTGGACAGATAAGGTACCTCAGGCTGAAAAGCAGCTCAGGCTTCTGCCTTGACAACTCAAAATAGACCTAAAGAGTACAGAAGATGAAAATCAAATAAGATGACATTTCCCCCTTTCCTCCTCTGGTATATGATTCTTCTTACTGTATTCAGGGTTGCCTGGAAGTAAGAGTGCCATTCTTCATCTCCTCACAGCATTTTACTTTATTGGGATACAATTTTATAGACCTAATTGTGTCTTCTTCAGAAGAGACACCATCTTTGAATATTGATACAATCCAACTTTCTTAAATGTTTATATTTTCATTCATTTTGGTATTCTGTTTTGTTATGGGAATATCTAGATTATATTTATACCTAATTTTACATACATGCACACATAATTTTCCTTCCATGTTTCCAGTGTCACAGTATCACAGTATCACAGTATGCTGGAGATTGGAAGGGACCTCAAAAGATCATCTAGTCCAATCCCCCTGCCAGAGCAGGAACACCTAGATAACGTTACACAGGAATGTGTCCAGGCGGGCTTTGAATGTCTCCAGGGAAGGAGACTCCACAACCTCCCTGGGCAGCCTGTTCCAGTGTTCCGTCACCCTCACTGAGAAGAAGTTCCTTCTCAAGTTTAAGTGGAACCTCTTGTGTTCCAGTTTGCACCCATTACCCCTTGTCCTATCATTGTTTGCCACTGAGTAGAGCCTGGCTCCATCCTTGTGACATTCCCCCTTTATATATTTATAGACACTAATAAGGTCACCCCTCAGTCTCCTCTTCTCTAAACTATAGAGACCCAGCTCCCTCAGTCTTTCCTCATAAGGGAGATGCTCCACTCCCTTAATCATCTTGGTTGCCCTGCGCTGGACTCTCTCCAGCAGCTCCCTGTCCTTCTTGAACTGAGGGGCCCAGAACTGGGGCCCATATCCTTTCCTGCATAACTAGGACAAACCCAAACCAAAACAAATCAGAAACCTATAATTTTATGTTTCTGTATGTACAGACTCTCATTTATGAGGAAGTTTAACAAACTGCTTTCTTACCATGCCAGAATCATACTAAATCATTACACAAGCTGTGGCACATGCTTTCATAGAGATTTGGAACTTGATATAGATCTTGAAGGCCTAGCATTTTCTTGCTGGAAATAAAGTGGCCAATATAAATGAGATTTGCATTTCATTACTGCTATAAATTGTTGTAGGCAGGTGTGAAACACTGAACAGCAAGACAAAACCTTACTTGTATCCTACAGGTCTGCTGCACATTCGATTTTCAGACATTCTTCATTCCAAAGATTTTAAGTTCTAGCCACAGTCTAAATGTGCAGAATGTCTCCCCTCTTGATTTTTTTTTTTAGTTTCTTTTTCTCTCAGTACCTGGAACCTCATTGATTCTATTTGCTATTATGCAGGTCGTGGTTTTCAGATCAGATGGCAGTGTGTTACTAAATGAGATGACCATGAACGTGCCTCATGTGTCAGGTAAGGGAGATAGTCTTGTGTGTCATATGTCATACACCGGCCTTCTCATGTGGAGTTGTATTTTTTTCAGAGGCAAAAGTGGAAAACAGTCATATGAAATTGCTCAGATTTTGGAACTTGGGGATGAAAGTGGTTTACTAGTCATCACTGAGAATTTTATGGGCAGATTGACTGTATACGACAGATGATTGAAAAAATATCGTTTCACTATTTTTCATACCTCTTGAAAATACTTTGGCATGTAGCTTGGGAAAGAGGAATTGCCATGGCTTAAATTTAAAGCCAAGCCTGGCTACATGGTGTGAGTAGGTCCTGGCTCTCATTCATGGTGAGGCTTAGGCATGTCTACACCATCCTGCTTCTTCCCCATGCTTTTTTGTTTTTTTAATTCCCTGTGAGAAGAAAGCCTGGCAGAAGGTAACTGCTGTATTTTCTGGTCAATTTGGGCAGGAAAGAAGGATGTACTGTGTAGCATCCTCTCATCTTCTCAGCTCAGTTGACGCATCAATGTCTTTCAATATAAGCAGTGAATTTAGACAGACACTTTCAGAGGCTGACTCAGATCACCTTATGTAAGAGCAGAACTTCTGGTGCAAGGTCATTATCAGACAGCAGCTGTGGCCTCTTGGAGTAACTGTTGAAAGGAATGCAGAACTTCTCTTAGAACTCCTTTTTAGATATGTGTAGGCAGCATACTGATACGGCATGTGTTGCTTCTTATTTACTGGCCTATCTGCAGATGAAAGAAAGTAATTCTTCATCTGAAAGGAGAAGTATTCGTGGGGTGATACATTCATGAGCACTTGTGCAAAAACAATTACAGTGTGTAGCTGAAAGTTTAGAGAAATTAAAGTGCTTTGGGCAAGAAAATAGACCATCTAATAAGAAGATTAAATGGACAAATAAAGCATACAGTAGCGATTTGCTATAAGAAATTGGTTAGCCAGTAAATATTGGGATTTTTTACTTCAGAAAAGTTTTTGATACTGCCTCTCAGACTATCCTTCTGTACAAAATGTCCAGCAGACAGCTAGACAAGTCCATAATAGGTTGGGTGAACAATTGGCTGACAGGTTGTTCTCAGAGTTACAGTAAATATGGTTACAACAGGCTGGCAGACAGTCACCAGTGAGGCTCCCCAGTGAGGCTCAGTTTTAGGGCTAGTGATGTTTAATGTTTTTATAAACGATCTGGATGCAGAAGTCAAATTCACATTTAGTGAGTTTGCCAGTGTGGAGTTGTGAGGACGAGCACTGTATGTAGATAGCCAGCAATTTTTAGAGGAAAGAAATGATTACTTTGAGCCTCATCTCAGAGATTTCATGGCAGGTTATAACTTAGAATCTAGTAAGTGTTTCTTTTGGCATCCTGTGTTTACCGCACAGTTCATATTTTGTGTTTTCAGCCAGCTTCTCGGTATTCAAGCCATCTTCCTACTACCTTGTTGTACAAACTTCTTTTGGGCTTCAGCTGCAAATCCAATTGTTTCCAGTCATGCAGCTGTTTGCAACTGTGGATCAATCAGTTCAAGGAAAACTTCAAGGTAAGTATCTAGTCAAATGGGAAGCAAAGCCATGCTGTACCACAGCTGAAGAGTCATGTATTCATATATGGGTGATAATTCATGCTACTTACTGATTCAAGAGGAGGAAAATGAAAACAGAAACCAAAACATTGAAAGAGAATTGACTCAAGCAAACTAGAAATGCATTTTTATTATTTCACATTGAAGTCACCTATCACTCCAGTGCCAGTACGTGAATGTTTCCTAGGATATTCCTTACTGTTGTATTCAGTTTCTTTTTTAACAAGTCACAAAATCAGGCTTTTGGTGTAATTTGTGGTTTTAATGTCATCAGAAAGTATAAAACATACAGGACAGGATGGTGGTCTTCTGAAGCAGTGATATCTTCATGAAAACTATTCTTCTCAAGAGGTAAAGATTTAAAGTAGGGCTCCTTAATCTTCACTACTTATAGCGTGCATTAATATAACAGTGGAATTATCAGCTGTATGAACTTCAATTCTAATATTTGTGATGAACCGTTGCTTTCCCTTTGACCTTTGAATGAGAATGAGTAATGATTATGTGATTTTTTTTTTGCCATCTTTTTCAATAGGTCTTTGTGGAAACTTTAATGGAATGGAAGGTGATGACTTTAAAACAACCAGTGGGCTGGTAGAAGCTACAGGATCTGCCTTTGCTAACACATGGAAGGCCCAATCCACCTGTACAGACCAGGCAGAAAAGCTGGAAGACCCCTGTAGTCTCAGCATTGAAAGTGGTAAGCACATTAATAAGTCAGATAGTTGCTGTATATTACTGCAACAGGCAAGTAAGCGTTGTAGTGTGGCACTGATGGTTTTTTTTAGAGGACTGTCAAATTAATAATTAATTTCCGCAAGTATGTATACATAGGATCCCTGAAGTGAAGATTTAGGGGGTGATTGCAGAGGAATCTTGAGCTGGAAGGCAGGGAAACAAGGTCATTAATTTATATTCTCTGCAAAGGCAGCTTGCATTTCCTAGTATTATTTCACCCTATGTTTAATTTAGCTTTGTGATCTCTGAATAAGGGCTGTCACAATTCCATGTAGACAACTTGCAGCAGAAAAATACGATGTTTGATTTTATGACTGTGTCTACTGCTAGATAATTGAATATGAGAACAGAAATACATGTACAGTGATTGCATGTAGTTTCTCCTCTCCCTAAAATGCATGCAGTTCTCTCATTTGTATCATTGTATTGCATTTATGTGACAACATAACTAGACATGGCACAAGGAAGATAAGTGAATATAATGAATGTAATGATATAATTTAATTTTTCTCTTTCTTTGCAGCAAATTATGCTGAGCATTGGTGTTCTTTGCTGAAAAACTCAGAGGGTCCTTTTGCGAAATGTCACTTAATCATTGATCCGTCAGAATACTATAAGGTATTGTAATCTTGAACTCTTTTAGTACTGCCTTATTTCAGATGGGTGACAGTAGACATTTATTATTGTTCAAACATTAGAGACATTACTGAGTAGCTAGCTTGCCCATAACAGCTGGTGAGGCTTTTGCAGTGATTAACTGAGGCAGCATAGCACGCATTAGAACTATTTCATATGATGAGTTTCTTGCCAAGTGCTGCTGAAGAAAAAGATAAATTCGTTCTTCTGTTGTCTTATGTTTTGTATTTAATGTACATTTTCATTAGACTGGATATTTGAACTGGAAAGAAGATTCAAGAGATGCAGAGATGCACAGAAAGTTTAAGTCTACCCTTACACATTAGCTGCTAATAAGTCAGGGAAAAAAAGGTATATATTTATTACGTTTCCTGTGTTGGTTACAATGTAACAGCAAATTTTCTTTTGTGCCAAAATTATGCAGTTTTGTTCCCCTCGTGTTCATCACTGTTGAGCAGTAAATGAGGCCTACCTGCGTAAAAAAGAATTTCTATTTCTTTGCAGCACTTTCAGTCCCTGGTCTTTGTCCTTTCCTTCAATACTTCTCCGAGCATAGGAATTAATAAGAACAACATCAAAAAAAGGACACAGAATATTTTGTAGCAACTGAGTTGCAGTTTGACCATTGGTTTCCTGTGGGCTTACTGACCCTTTTTCTCTTTTTTCAGAAATGTAAATATGACACCTGCCTCTGTGAAGACAGTGAAGAATGCTTGTGCGCTGCCCTGTCCTCCTACTCAAGAGCCTGTGCTTTCAAAGGGATCATACTGGGAGGCTGGAGGCAAAGTGTCTGCAGTAAGTAGTGGAACTGTAATCCATGTGGAATTATTTAGCCATGAGATGTAAGTGAGTTCTCTCTGAATTTTGTTGTCAGTGATCGCAATGTTAAAGGATTTGGAGTATCTTAGAAATGTCTAATGGACTTAAAAGAGATAATGCTTATAAAATTTACTAATTCATGTTACATTTTTTAGTTGTCATTTATTCATGACATATTTATAATTAGCAAGCGAAGTTTTTCACTTTCTTTTCCCCATTTGAATAATAATTTTCATTATCTTTCTATCTTTGACTAATGAAATCACATCCATCATGGCTTTTACATTGTCTTTGTTTATCAGTGTCTTTGTTTATCGTTGTGCTTCCTTTTCATCAAAAGTATAGTATTGTTGAGACTAGGAGTTTATTACATTGTGCTCTCCTTCTGATTATCAGTGTGTGGAACAAATATGGGTATGAAAGTAGAAACTATTAGTAGCAATCAAAAGGAAGTCTTCAACAGGTAAACAAAGTTAGGCCAATGTTACTTGACTTAGGATACCTGTTGAAGACTTCCTTTTGACTGCTACTTAAATAAAACCTCAGGAAGTATTTTTACCTTTACATGCTGCACAGCCAAAGAAACCAAATGGAAATGTCATGGTTAAATTATCCACCCTGCATCCCCTAATTATCAGTTTGTTTATTTTCCCTCCAGCTAGTGAAGTGTCTGCCTGCCCAGGAAATCAAATCTTCCTTTACAACCTTACAATGTGCCAGCAAACCTGTCGTTCCTTTGCTGATGGTGAAAAGCATTGCTTGCAAGACTTGGCTCCTGTGGATGGCTGTGGGTGCCCATATAATACATACTTGGATAACCAGGATACCTGTGTGCCCATCTCCAAGTGCCCATGTTATTACAAGGGATCATACCTGGAACCAGGGGAATATGTCACAAAAGATGGGGAACGCTGGTATGCTTTACTGTGGCTTCTTTTTTGTGGGTGATAAAAGCCCTTTTAAAATTTACTTATTAGGTATAAGTTCCTTAAATTTTTGTGGTGCTTTAATGAGCACTTGTAATGCATTTCACAACATCTTCATGCTGAGCAAAGCATCATCATGTTGCAATGCAATTTATTAATAATTGAGAAATGCGGCACTGTTTGGAGGTCAAAGTACTGGTCTTCACAGATAAACATTACTCTGAATTTACACTGTTAATAAGCCTTTGTTGAGCAAAGGGGTAAGAGGAAGATAAAAGTCTGTCTATAATTTTATGTTGCTGTTTTCTTTTCTGTCAGGGACAGATTGCTTGTGTTTTCCATTGAAGGAAGGTTCCCTTGATATGTATTTACTGTAGCATAGGCTTTTGGAAGGAACTTCCACAATGCTGGTATTTTTTATCATTAATTGACAACTGTTTGCTGCATGAATCATCAGTGCAAACTGTGAAATACTTCTCTTATTCAGCAGATGAAGCATACAGGCCAACAAAATTGCAACGTATGAGTTAAATAGGCATGAAAATGTATTGTTTATCCAAATGAAGGTTTTGATTTAAATTCTCATTATTATCCATTTCATTATTGTGTGTTTCCTGAGCCATCAAAAAGATCAGTATTAAGGATTAGTAGAATAGCTGTCTTAGAATAGCTTAAAAGATAACCTTCCAGCACGTTATGCCTAAAATCTTGCTGTGTTTTTTCTCCTAGTGGAAATGCGTGAGTACACCTCAGTAGTGTTCACCTTGAAATATCCATAGAAATTATGCATAATAAATACTAATAAATAATCTCAAATTTGTATTAATAAATTCTTAGATTTAAATTGAAGACACTGACCTTACTTTTTTTTTTTAATTTCTACTTTCTTCACTTTTCTAGTGTTTGCCGAAATGCAAAGATCCAGTGTACTTCAGTGACAGTAAGAATGCAAAGTAAGTGACATTCTATAAAGTAAACTAAAATAAAAGCCATAACTCAACCTCCAAACCCAAACCTACACTTTCGATTGAATTCTCCACTTCATTGTTTTGTGTGTTTGCTTTTTATCTTTATGTGAAACAGTTAGACATTTTCCATTTGTTCTGTCTTCACTGAGCTTTTTTTTTTAATAAGGATAGCCATACCCTGAGATTTCTGTCTCAGTAACTACCAACTTTCACACATTTATTTTGCCTTTCCTGGGTTCATCCAAACCAGCAAAATACCTTTCAGGTGTAACAGAATGTTCTTCTAACAAGACGTACTTTGACTGCAATGCATCCCCAAGCTGGAATTCACAAACACCTGTACAACTTAGCTGTCACACTCCTCAAACTGATCATGTATGTATTTAGTTTTTCTCCATGTCATGTTTCCTTTATTCTATATTCTTTAAATAACACAGTGCAACACAGAAAATGCAGTTGTAACTAGCAGTTGATTTCTCTTTGGTTTAATCTTCTTTTATCCCAAATAATATTACTCATTTGGTAATTTCATGACTTCTCTCCCCTTTTCCTTTTACTGTGTCTTCATCAAAAAAGAAAAGAAAAAGATTAGAAACCTAGAAAGAAAAACCTTATGAAACCAATCAATATTAGGCTGTTTTGTTACAAATGCTGTTTTTACCAGAGTGCTTATGAATAACTGATATGCAGTGCTTTTTCATAAATTAACAATTTTTGCTCCGATTTCTTAGTTCCAGGCAGAGTGTGTCTCAGGCTGTGTGTGTCTGGAGGGTCTATTTGATGATGGGAAAGGGGGCTGTGTGGAGGAGAAGGACTGCCCGTGCATTCATAACAACCAGTGGTATTCTCCTGGACAGCAGGTAACAGTGGACTGCAACATCTGGTAAGTTATAATTTTGTACTGTCTTCTAGAATATATTCTATGCAGTAAATTAATAGCCATGTGTAGGCTTATGTACTACAGTGGCTGCAATAGCTGCAAGTATAAATCTTTATTTTCAGGCATGCTGTTTGCTATCTGAGGAAACACATATTGTGCTGAAAATGTTGGGGTAATAGTTACTTCTGTTTTCAGTTGGTATCTCTTATTAGGAAAGTACACTCTTTTTTTTGAATATGAACACTATCAGATCTGAAAAATGTAGCTAGCCAGAGTTAAAAATCATGTTATAGGGTTAAACCCAGGATAAACTATTGAAGTTGAAACTTAAGACCCTCTGTAACACTGAAATTGGTATTGTGCACATTGTCATGTTTTATCAACACTTCAAGTGGAAGAGGAGAGTTTACAGGTCATGGAAGGAGGGGCTGGCCGCTTGGGAGGAATATAAGGCTGCTGCTAGAGGATGTGGGAAGGCAGCTAGGAGGACTAAGGCATCCTTAGAATTAAACCTGGCAAGAAGGGTCAAGGACAGCAAAAAGAGCTTTTTCAAATACATGGCAGACAAAACTAACACCAGAGGCAATGTAGGCCCACTGATGAACGGGATGGGTGCCCTGGTGACAGAAGATACAGAGATGGCAGAGTTACTGAATGCCTTCTTTGTCTCTGTCTACTCTGCTGCAGGCAGTCCTGAAGAGCCCTGTACCCCTGAGACCTTAGATGAAGTCAGGTTGAAGGAGCGGTTTGCCTTAGTCGATGAGGAATGGGTTAGAGATCAGTTGAGCAATCTGGACATCCATAAATCCATGGGTCCAGATGGGATGCACCCGCGGGTGCTGAGGGAACTGGCGGAAGTCATTGCTAGACCACTCTCCATCATCTTTACCAAGTCTTGGGAAATGGGAGAGGTGCCTGAGGACTGGAGGAAAGCAAATGTCACTCCAGTCTTCAAAAAGGGCAAGAAGGAGGACCCGGGTAACTATAGACCGGTCAGCCTCACCTCCATACCTGGGAAAGTGATGGAACACCTTATCCTTGGTGCCATCTTAAGGCATATCAAGGATAAGAGGGTTATGAGGGGCAGTCAACATGGCTTCACCAGGGGGAAATCATGTTTGACCAATCTCTTAGCCTTTTATGAGGAAATAACACGGTGGATGGATGATGGCAGAGCGGTGGATGTGGTCTACCTTGACTTCAGCAAAGCATTTGACACAGTCTCCCACAGCATCCTCACAGCTAAATTGAGGAAGTGTGGTCTGGATGATCAGGTAGTGAGGTGGACTGCGAACTGGCTGAAGGAGAGAAGCCAGAGAGTTGTAGTCTATGGGGCAGAGTCTAGTTGGAGGCCTGTAACTAGTGGAGTGCCTCAAGGGTCAGTACTGGGACCGGTATTATTTAATATATTCATCCGTGATTTAGATGAGGGAATTGAGTGTACTATCAGCAAGTTTGCTGATGACACTAAGCTGGGAGGAGTGGCTGACACGCCACAAGGCTGTGCTGCCATCCAGCGAGACCTGGACAGGCTGGAGAGTTGGGCAGGGAGTAACTTGATGAACTATAACAAGGGAAAGTGTAGAGTCCTGTGTCTGGGCAGGAACAACCCCAGGTTCCAGTATAGGTTGGGAAATGACCTGTTAGAGAGCAGTGTAGGGGAGAGGGACCTGGGGGTCCTAGTGGACGACAGGATGACCATGAGCCAACACTGTGCCCTTGTGGCTAAGAAGGCCAATGGCATCCTGGGGTGTATTAGAAGGGCGGTGGTTAGTAGGTCGAGAGAGGTCCTCCTTCCCCTCTACTCTGCCCTGGTGAGACCCCATCTGGAATATTGTGTCCAGTTGTGGGCCCCTCAGTTCAAGAAGGACAGGGACCTGCTGGAGAGAGTCCAGCGAAAAGCAACAAAGATGATTAAGGGAGTGGAGCATCTCCCTTATGAGGAAAGACTGAGGGAGCTGGGTCTCTATAGTTTGGAGAAGAGGAGACTGAGGGGTGACCTTATTAGTGTCTATAAATATATAAAGGGGGAGTGTCACGAGGATGGAGCCAGGCTCTACTCAGTGGCAAACAATGATAGGACAAGGGGTAATGGGTACAAACTGGAACACAAGAGGTTCCACTTAAACTTGAGAAGAAACTTCTTCTCAGTGAGGGTGACAGAACACTGGAACAGGCTGCCCAGGGAGGTTGTGGAGTCTCCTTCCCTGGAGACATTCAAAACCCACCTGGACGCATTCCTGTGTAACATTATCTAGGTGTTCCTGCTCCGGCAGGGGGATTGGACTAGATGATCTTTTGAGGTCCCTTCCAATCTCTAGCATACTGTGATACTGTGATCAGGTAGCTGAGGATTTGGTTTATTCTGTAGTTTACCAAACAACACACTCTTGGTGAGATCTGAAAATTCAACTCTTTTGTTCTCTTCTAGTACCTGCCAAAAAGGGGTTTGGAGCTGCACTGAAGATGTGTGCTATGGCACTTGTATGATATATGGAAGTGGCCATTATATCACCTTTGATGGAAAATTCTATGACTTTGATGGAAGCTGTGAATATGTGGCTACTCAGGTAGTGCTTATCAGGGGTGCTGAAATGACATCTGATTGCCTTGACGATATCCTTTTCTTCTTGGTTTTGTCATTTCTTATTGCCGTCCATCAGTCTTCCTGAGGTGTTTGCACATTCTGCCAAGATAAATTCTGAAATTCTGTATTTTCATTGCCATCAAGCTGTGTGAGTGTGGGCTTTTTTTGATACAGCAGTCACAAATTGTATTATGTAAGAGGACTGTTTTTATAGTGAGCACTAACAACTCATTATCAGTTGTCAAATAAACCAAAATTCTTAAGTTTATGAAACAAAGATATTTATATTTAAAGATATATTCCTCATTTTGTTTTATTGTCCCACTTCTTTCCCAGGTTTTGCCACACATTAGACTGAAATATTTATATGTATGCAGAGAGGTATATGGATATGTTTGTGCATCTGTAAAAATAGATATATGTAGGATTTCACGTATGAAGCAGCAGTAACAATGTATTCATTGTGGAGATTTAAATGATTCTAATTAGTATGAGATTGAACTAAAAATTAAATATTCTACCTAATCTTCTTATGCTCATTTTTAACTTTTTCAATAGGATTTTTGTGGTGACAGAAATTCCAGCGGCTCATTCAGTATCATCACAGAGAATGTCCCTTGTGGAACTACAGGAGTTACCTGCTCAAAGGCTATTAAAATGTTTCTAGGGGTGAGTAATGATGCTCAGTGAATATCAGTATTCAAGTATTAAAAAAATGAAAGTACTGCTCCAAAGCCACATCCCTAAAAGAAGCTATCACAAGCAAAGGTTGGAGGCCCTATCAAATTTATCGGTAAAAGCATAGATTCTCAGGTACTAGAACCTCTGTCAAACAAAATTGCTACACTACTTCCTGTCGTCTCAGAAAGTCATTCTAGACTTTGAGCTATTGGTTTCAGATTACTTGCATTGTTATGAGCATATAAATATTTTTTTCATCATAAAAGTTAATGTTATAATAGTTCTCTCTTTTGTCTTTCAGAAAACTGAATTGAAATTGGAGAACAAAGATTATAAAGAAATTCAGCGAGATACTGGTGATGATGTACATTATTGGAACAAGACAGTAGGCCTCTACCTCGTTATTGAGGCTAGCAATGGTGTGATGCTTATCTGGGATAAGAAGACTACTGTTTTCATCAAGCTGACCCCTGATTACAAAGTTAGGACCTGTCTGTCCTTTTCCTGAAGTAGTAGTATGAATAGATCAGTGAGATAAGGAAACATATATGTTGTTCTATTCTGACTCCATGTTTGATTCCTATATCCTGTGCACACTGATTATTAGCTTGCAATATTACTATCACAGCTTGCAGAAGTGCTACTGGAGTTCCTTACTGTCCATCACGATGCATTGCAGAGGATGCATAGCATGTGATTGCAATAAGGCTAAACTTCTAAGGCATTCTGAGTTTGTAAATGTTAAGAACTAAACATCCAAAGTAATTTAGGGAATGCAAATTGACAATACATGCATTTGGAAACCTGCATAGAATCTCAGCCCTGATTTAAAACCAGTCTCCCCATGCAGTGTCTGGAGATGGTTCTGATTTCTGAAAATCAGCATGCTGAGTTATAGACTATGAGATTCATTGCGGTGAATAAGGAGGTGAGGGGTTGTATAAACAAGATGTTCCTTAAGGGGGCTGATGTACCTTAAATAGCACTACCAAAAATTCACTGTTGTAAGTTGCTAAATTCTTTCTTTCAAGAAAAATGAGTCCCTGTCATTTTTTTTTCCCCCATGGATTAAGTGGTGCTCATTATGTTAGAAGTTTTAAATAAAAACAGTTTTGAGCAGAATAAAACTCACTCAGGCTTATATTAATATAGCTGAGTGATGATAAATTGAGAAAAATGGAAATAAATGAATTCTTCTCAGCTGAAAGAGGTTTACACACTGCAGTGTTATAAGTTGGATGAAAAGATGCCACAGTGACATGGAAATACACTAGATATAATTGGTTTCAAGTAAGGAAGACATGGCAACTGAATAGTTTGCTGAGTACACAGACAAATAAAGGTTTATTTATTTTATATTTTTTATAATTTTATTATATAAATATAATTATATAGAGAGATGTTTACTATATAAACAAATACAAATTTTATATTTATTTATAATTTTCTGTTAAAATTATTTGGAAGTAAAGATGAAAATGCTGGTTACACAGAGAGTCAGTTGTCCTCTTTAATGTCAATGTTTTACTTCAATAGAGTCTGTTTCTCACTTCTGTAGTATATTTAAAATCTGTGGATATGTTAAATTTTTTTCCAGGGCAAAGTGTGTGGTCTGTGTGGCAACTTTGATGACAAGTCTAACAATGACTTTACAACAAGGAGTGGGCTGCAGGACACTAGTGCTCTGAAGTTTGGGAATTCCTGGAAACAGTCTTCCATGTGCCCAGATGTTACAGAAGAGATAAAGCCCTGTGATGTAAATCCACATCGGAAGTCCTGGGCAGAGAAAGAATGCAGCATCATCCAGAGTGAAGTCTTTAAAATTTGTCACTCCAAGGTTTGTAGAGGGTAGTAAGTAATGGGACAGCATGGTGCATTTCCGTTACTGCAGAAGCACAGATACTGTCAAAAATGAAGTGGCTAAATAGTTATATTAAATTAAGTCTTCAGTACAGCTACAGGTGTCAACACATTTTACCTAGCCTTAGTCAAAGTAGTTTGAGTATCTGTGGCAATGTGACTGTATCAGTAGTGGCATCACCCCTGGCTGTACAAGCCCATATTCGTCCCCGCAGTTTCACAGTTTCTGCTATGCAAGTTAGCTTCATAAATCTAGCCTGAATAGGTCTGTGTGTACTGCAGTTACGCTATCTCTTCCTGAGAGACTAGCATACTGTAATTTCTGAAAGGTCTTGTAATCATCAGACCCCTCTTCTGACAGAAGCAACATACTATGCTTGAAAGGTGGCTGTTGAAGAGACCACTGCTGCTTGTTAAATTCAACCCACAGAAGGAATCCAGGTTGGAAACGACTGACATTGTACAGTTTAGTCATTTACTAGCTTTGCCACTGGTAATGTGCCTCAAATTCTCATATGCCATGTCAAGCCAACAGCCTCCAGACTACAGTGCACAGGGAGCAGTGCCCTCTACTTCTTGTCTCTTTCCTAAGTATGGTCATATTAAAAACAGTTTCTTCTTAACTCACAGTGGAAAAGTCACAAAGAATTACTAATTTAATTAACTTAATGTGTGTTTCTATGTTGATTCCTTTAGCAGCTATAATCCAGACTAAGTTACTCTTCTTGCAGTCCCAAACAAAAAGTATTTTGCTAATATGTCTTTCTGTTATTAGTCACCACTTGGTTGGCAAAGCTTATTGGAAGGTTAGACTTCATTGGCATTAAACAAACTTGGTTTTGAGAGCAGTAAAATGTAACTCTGTTAAAAAATGTGGGCACAGACAAGGACTAATTTTTTCAGTCATAGCAAATTATGAAAGTACTGTATTATCCAAATTATTATCCAAAATATATTAAGCAGCTGGAAGCCTATAATCTTTGTGATTTGGTAATTCTTAGAAACAGTCTCATTACTGCCCACCTCAATTTCCATATCTCAAGAGATCTTTCAAGCTTACTAGTTTGAAAACTAATTTGGAGATGAGCTGGGGCATCATTTCTTTCCCCGTCAGGTGGACCCAATTCCTTTCTATGAAGCTTGTGTTCATGATGCTTGCTCTTGTGACAGTGGTGGAGATTGTGAGTGCTTCTGTTCTGCAGTTGCTGCATATGCTCAAGAATGTACCAAGCACCAGGCCTGTGTTTTCTGGAGAACTCCTGATATATGCCGTGAGTAACAATCAAACACAACTTTATCTTTCTGGCTGCTGTCAGAAAACCTATCAAATAAATCATTAATAATATAAAATTTTACGTATCCTAAGTTTAATAGCAGAAAGTCCAGGTCCTATACCTCAAAAGAAATTTTGTTAGCTTAACATGTAGATTCATTTAGATTGTACCTTTAAAGATCTGATCAGAGCTGCAGTCTGGCAACTACACTTTTATCCAGCTTCTCTTTTTTTTTCTCTTCAGCGATATTTTGTGACTACTACAACCCTCGTAATGAGTGTGACTGGCACTATGAGCCTTGTGGTGCTAATATCATGACTTGCAGGATAATTAATAATGTCAGCACCAACTTTTCAATACCATACCTGGAAGGTAAATTCCTTGCCATTTTTGTATTTTATTTCATATACATTTGTTCAGGTACCGTGTGATAATGATGAAATAGTCCATCATCTTGATGAATCAGCTTCATAAATATTTCTGTATCTGTTATGTAGAATTTATCTCCAGTCTTATATAAATGTTTCATACAATGTAATTTGTTATGTATTAACATCAGTGGATGATCGTTACATTCCTGGTAGCCATAAAACTGGGTCTCTGCTTGGATAATATCCTCAAATATGCAAGATTATTACACCATTGTTATTTTGCATCCCATCATAAGGGCATTTCAAGAGAAAGAAACCTTTTACATGGTAAAGAAGCAAGTTACTGATATCTAGGGGGTTTTAACCTCATCATTCTTTATGAATCAGATCCATCTTGACTTTATTAATGTGCAGCATCCTCTTATCTTTAAAAGGAAAATATCTTTGATATCAGGCACACCGATGCTGTTATATGTTGTCAGAGGGATACTGGGGGCTACCTCCATCTTTAGTTGATTTCAGAGGGCTACTGGTGGCTACCTCCATATTTAGATATATTAGTATGTGAAAGTCATTTTGTTTGGTAACTGAAGAAGAATCTTATGTTAGGGGACTGCAATGATCCAATAATGTGAATGGCCTTACAAATATCATCTGTTTTACCACATGATAAAGTTGGAGAAAACAGCAACTTTTTTGGCCTCAGTCTTTTTGATCTGGACTGGAAGCAGTTGTCTGCAGTTCAGAGATCATAAAGAAATTCCCGTAGTTACTTTACATGTTACTTTAATCCTTGAACTGCTGGTAACAAAACAAACAAACAAACAACCCTGAAAAACCCTAAGCAAAACATATTTTTCTTTTTTTTAAAAAAACGTAATTCCATGTTTTGAAATAGATTATTTTAGATTATTTAGAAGGATTTGGAAAGTGTCAGAAGACAGATCATTATATATCCAATTATCTTTCTATATTTTTTTTTCCAGTGGAAATATAGAGCACATTTACTTTTGTTACAGCTTCTTTAATACTAAGAGTGTGAAGCAACTTTTAAATATCAGTTAATTAGTTGGTCGTTAAATTCATAGGCTATTTGAGACAGTGGAACAGGTTGACCAGAGAAGTTGTGGATCTTCCCTGGATTCACCCCTGGCTGTGTTCAAGGCCAGGTTGAATGGGGCTTTGAGAAACCTTTGCTAGTGGAAGGTATGCCTGCCTGTGGCAGGGGGTTGGAACTAGATGAGCTTTAAGGTCCCTTCCAACCCTAACCTTTCTATAATTCTACGATAAATAGAATTCATGCAATTAAGCATTGGATTTTACAAAAGTTTATTTGGAAGCAGGATAGAATATTTTTTTTAAATGTATTTACATAAAAAATGCAATGAGAATTGACATACAATTAATCCGTTTCAACTGGGGTTTAGGTCACTGGGCAAGGGTGCACAAAAATGCAGATAAATTACGTTTGGGATGGAGATACCTGATCTATTGAAGGTGCATAAGCAAGGTCTAGTGTTCCAATAAATGTAGTGAAAAACTTGTTAATGAATCCACTTCCATATTCTTTACTGAATTATTATTGATACAGTGATGACATTTCAATATCTGTAGAAAAATGGGGGTATTTCTTTGTCTTAAAATTACTAGCTGCCCATAGAAATTAATATAAATTAGGGATTTTTCCAAGATCTCAAACTAGGAAAAAACAACTTCTCTAGTTTTCTTGACTAAGCTCTGATTTAATCCTCCTCACCCCAGTATTATCAGTAAGAATTTTTTGATGTCTTTTGGAAAGACTTACTGTCCAAGGTTTAATTTGAATTGGAAATTTTCTGTTTTATTAGCTATGCTTTATTCAGTGAGAATCATTTACCTTCAGAAGATATCCTATCATTGAGTTAATTCTTTATACTTCATCCTGCATACTGCTCTGCTTGTCATCAACAGGTTGCTATCCCAGATGCCCTGATGACAAGCCTGTTTATAATGAAGAGACAAAGGAATGTGTGACTGAAGATCAATGTTGGTGTTACATCAATGGAACTCATGTTCCTCCTGGGCATGAAATAACCACAGAAGAGAACTGTACAAAATGGTAAATAAAAAAATTGCAGAATTTTTGCAGTATTTTAGGAAAGAATTTATGTATGCTGAGGCCCTCATTTACTTAGCTGGGCTTCAAGCAAATAGAGGTGCAAGTTCAACTGAAGAGCTGGAATATTCTAGTATTTATCTGTACAAGTAATAGCATCAATGCCATCTATTCCAGTTGAGATTTACATTCAAAAAATGGGGCAATTACCGTACATATAGATTATGAACTTTTCATTCATAATTTTCCAAACCCATAATAATCCATATTTCAAATTGATAGTGTCATTATAATAGGTGTGTTAATGATTGCAGTAGTATATTTAAGTGTCTTAAAAAAATTAATGACATGAAACCTGGATGTGTCTCTATAACATTTTGATTCTCATTGCTCTCTCTTAGTAGAGAGGGCCTACTCTGCCTTGCATTCTCACTTAAAACTGGGATTTCAGATTCACTGTAACCTGAAATTTTTTAGCCCTGAAAGAGATAGCTGAGTCTTAACTGCTTACCCCTAGAACCTTACTAATGATAGCAGTGACATCTATGACTCTACATGGTGACCATAGACACACAAAACACCGCTTATCTAGCTATAAGTTCACTGCCCTGAAAAGCAGTTGCTAATATTGCAGTATTGCAACTTGCAACACATAGCGATTCATGATAATTTTAAGATGTACTTAAAGAATGAAAGTGATGACTTACTTTAAATGAAATAATGATAGGTAATATTGGAAAATATTACACCCAGAAAAATATCCTGTAGGATGAATAAAGATTAAATGACAAATATCTACAATTCTGTGGTCTTGGCTCTGCTAACAGGTGCCATAAAACATCTGCAATATGTTAATATTTGAAAATTTTGCTTTTAGTGTCTGTGGTCCCTCAGGATCTATACAGTGTACACCAATCCCAGGTAAATAACATTTAATTTTTCTACAAGTTAATGAAAAAAAAATGGATGGAGCTGCTACATCTGTCTCTACAAAAGACTTAGTACAGGTTTGGAATAATTCTTTTCAGTGCAAGAAAGTTGTGGCCAAAGAAAATTGGGCAGCACTTTTGTTAAACCTTGCTGTTAGTATTTCTTGTTCAAACTTCTTCTCACTTCCCTTTATTCTTTCTCCCAGTGTCCCATATCCAAACTAATGGATTTCACTACAAGAGTTTGCAGTCCCAGAACATGTATTATTGTAGAAAAGTATGAGATGGTAAACTGCAGTTGTTATTTCTTAAAGAACATTTTAAGACCTGGTTTGTAACTCTGTTCTTCCAAGTGTTTTATGCAGGGCTTTATTTAATGTTTTAATGTTCCTCTAAATGTCAAAATAAATTAGTGCCATGTATTAGATCTAAGCTCTACATATAGATCTGAAAAGAGCATGCCTGAATCATGTAAGTGCTTACTTGTCCATAAATAATAAGAGCCTTTGTCTCTTACCAAGTAGTAGACAAATTGCACAATAAAGCTGTTTCTTGCAGGATGTCCTTGTGTCATCAACGGAACAAGTTATGAAGTGGGTGAAATTGTGGCACAAATACAGGATGGTAACATATGCATCACATACGTTTGTGCAGAAAATGGTTCTATAGTTGTTGGAAGTACTTATCCTTGTCCGACATCTACTTCACCTACAACCATTTCAACCTCCTTTCCTACCAGTACTCTAACCACCACAGGTAAAACTTCAACAGAGATGTACATCTAAAAATTATTTTCTTTAAGTAAAATTCTTTAAAGATAGAAGTACAAGTATACGGCCTTATAGTTGACACAAACGGAGCAATACTTATGAATAGTTTTATCACTGCACACTAAGATATTTAAAACACTGAGTTAATTTACTTTAAATGGAAGAAATTGTAACTATAAATGTAGATTGTGCCTTCCTAATTCTGAAAAACCCATTAACATTTCAAAACCCTGCTGAGATAGAAGTTTTATCAGTAGTGTCTGCAAAAAAAAATATAATTAGGATATTTAAAACTACTATTATAATTTTTCTAACTTTGCAGATGATGTACTCTAATTTTTTTCTATTTCAGTTACCACTACAAGCCCTCCAATAACTACAAGTAAGTTTTAAATCGAAAACTACGTTAAAAAATGTCAAAAGAATGCTTAAATTAGAAATAAATTGAAGATGGCCACTATAGGAAAAATATCTATAAAACAAAAAAAGAATTTTTTTAATTGCAAAAGTACAGTAAGTGTAGAGAGATGACTTTCAAAGGCCTCTGCTTGGTGATTTTATTTTGATATTAATCTTCCTATTGAAAAACCTGGTAATATAGAACAAGCTGTAGAGCTCTTTTTCTCTACAGAAAGAAATATTTTCTCATTTTGAAAAATTACTAGTTGCAATGGGTTGCTCTAGTCTCTTATGGAGTAGAATACATAATCAAACTTCACAGAATGTTCTCTGTAAGCTCAATGCTGAATCTCTCTTTTCTTGCAGCTCCATGCTTTGGTTTAATCTGTAATTGGACTGAGTGGTTTGATGTTAGTAAACCTGAAGAGGATGGTGGTGACTATGAAACCTACGATGCAATAAGAAATCAATATGGAAACAAAATATGTGAAGCTCCTGAAAATATTGAGTGCAGGGCTAAAGATAATCCAGATGTTAGTTTAGAGGAACTTGGCCAGAAAGTAGAGTGTAATGTTACATATGGACTAATCTGTAAAAATGAGGAGCAAGATGCAACTATTTGGCAACTTTGTTATAATTATGAAATCAGGGTAAATTGTTGTGAGTGGCATGAAATTTCTTGTGAGACTGCAAGTACACGGCATCCAACACAAACTGCAACTGCAACCACCACTAGCACAACAGTACCCATCACCAGTACAGCCAGGCAGCCAACAACAATTACCACCACATCCATACCCACCTCAACAATCACAAGCGAATTCACACCGTCGGTTACCACCCCAGTAACTCCAACCTCTCCAGGTATTTAACAGACCAATATTCTCTACTCTTGCTTTGTATAGTAGAAATACAGGGCTGTCGGTTACCAAAGGCATGTCATTTTCATAGCACATACTGAGCTGGCAAGAAGTCTTATTTGTGCTGGTCTGGGTGTCTCTCCTCCTGCTAGAGACTTCCAGAAGGTCCCATTGTGTGAGACTAGGCTAGGGCTTGATTTAGAGTACCATCATTCTAGGCATTATCTGGGAGGAGCTTGGCAGAATTCCTTCTATTTCTCCTTCTGTTTTCCCTCTAGCAATGCTAAAGTTTGCTAGTACTCTGTAAATACCCTTCATCAGGCTGGCATTGCACAGCAGGGAAATGACATGACAATTAGACTGGAACATATTCTTATGCATACTTCCTTCCCAGACTACAGCTTCCCCTCTTAATTATTACTTCATGACATAGCAAGATGTTCCAAGTAGTAAGACAGGGATAGAAAGCTTCACACAGCCTAACTCCTCCTCATAGTCTTACCTATTATTAGGTAATTTTGCTTACTGAGAAGAACATTACAGCAGTATCTCTAGAAAAAACACAGGGGCAATGTGTAATGTGCGACTTATTAATTCAAAAATGCGAGAAAAACATTGCCATGACCTTGTCTGTGCAGTAAATTTGAATTAGTTTGCTTCTAGGGCCAGACTAGAAGGACTAGAGAAACAGAACTTTACATTGGTAAGAGTGGGGTGACGGATATAGGTCAGTGGCACCTCCCTAACACATCATTTCTTTTCAGTGCACATTATGTCCCACTCAGGTCTTTTGTAACTTACCTGTTTTCTCTATCACCACTATTTATAATAGGAAGACCCTCATCCGCAATGAGCACAGGGTCTTTTCCACCCCTGTCGACAACCACTCCCATGCCAACACCATCAGAGCCTCCCAGTAGCACTGCCAGCACCTTGATGCCCCCCAGCACCACGACGCCCCCCAGCACCACCACCAGCAGCACTGCGGGGACATCAGCAACCGTTCCTGCCACATCAACACTCACCCTAACTACTGCGAGCACATCCACACCCATGCCAACGTACACCACCACCACACCACCTCCAGGTACTTGTCTAGTCTGTGCTCTCGTGTGTTGCCTTGCTGTGGGAGAAATGAAGGTTCGTGAGCACCTCAGCTTGTGTCTTCTGTCTGGGATCAAGGATAGGAGTAGTTGTTGTGTGTTCCCTGAAATGACAAGTGCCCAAAGTTAGCCCTTGGTGTGGCTGGCTCAGTGGTGAGGAGGGTGCAGTGTCCTGGGTAGAAAGTCTTGTGTTCCTTGGCTGAAGAGAGCCCTGAGGGTATTTTCTGTGCTGGTGCCTCTGCCCACAGCTTAGACAGGTACTGAGCTGCTGGGAAATCTTACTTTTGCTGCTGCTTGACCTCATCCTTCAGCAAGAGAGAATGTGCTCAGCAGGCACCATGGTGTGCAGTGGGAGTGGAGCTTGGTTTTGTGGCATTATCATTCCAGGTGCTGTTTGGGCAGAGCTGGGCAGAGTTTCTTTGCTTTCTTCTCTTGTGTTGCCTCTGTGGCCATTGCTGCCACTCACCTGTGGTTCTGTCTGTAGGAAGCTTTGAAGGTTTTCTCCACGAGGCGCTGGGGGAAAAGTTTTGGAACACATATTGCCCCTTGCCTTGAACCAGTGCTCTGGGCAGCTGGACTCTCACAGCGTTCCCACGACTGCTGTTTTCCATCTGTCTGTGTGCTGCCGGGAAGCACATTGGTGTTTCAGCAGCAGCAGGTGTCCTGTGCCTGCTTCCTATGTGCTCACAACCCTACCAAGTGCTTGGTTTCTCTCTGGGATAATGAGGTGGTGTGAGTGGCAACAGAAGGTTAGAGAGTGGTGGGAGTCCCTGCTTCGTCCTGCTCTACCTCATCTGTGGCCCTTTATGTACGCAGTCTTTGCACTCGAGAAGCCCAATAGAGCAACATGCTCTAGCTGTGAGGGAAACACACGTGCCTGTGTGTGCTTTGTCGGGCCATTAAAGAGAGGCCTGTCCACACAAGGGACTCTGTTGCACCAGGGTTAGATACTGGTGTAGCAGTGCCCGAGGGGCACCTTTGTGTGCATTGGACTCACAGGGCACCACCCTCGAGTGTGCTGGTGCTCTGGCTTTCTGTATCTGTTCTCTAATTTTTCTTTTTGTGTCACCCCCCCCCAGAATGTGACTGTGTCTGGACAGACTGGATTGATGTGAGTTACCCAGATAGTTCTGACAGAAACAGTGGTGACTATGAAACCTTTGAGAATATTCTGAAGAACGACCCCTCCTGGGTCTGTGTGAAAGCGGAGAATATTTCATGCAGAGCAGAAAAGTTCCCTACCGTTCCCATTGCGGATTTAGGGCAGAAGGTGGAATGCAGTGTTAACACGGGGCTGACCTGTAACAACAGCGATCAGGTCATAGGAGGCATAATGCTGATACCGGTCTGCCTCAATTATGAGATCAGTGTCTGCTGCATCCCCAACATACCAGAGTGCATTCCCACAAGTGCCACCACGAGCACCACGACAGCCCTTCCTTCATCCACAATGAGCACAGGGTCCTTTCCATCCATGTCAACAACCACTCCCACGCCAAAACCATCAGAGCCTCCCACCACCACCACCATCAGCACCCAGGAGACATCAGAAAGCATTCTTCCCACCTCAACAACCCCCCAAATAATAACCGTAACACCAACAGCTCCTCCTACAGAACGACAAGGTAGGTCCATTACTTATATTTGTTTGCTTATATTGTGATAAAAATGATTTTATTGCCACCCTAATATGTGTTTTAATACTTATGCTAAAGGAGTGACATTGATTTATATTTCAAAAATACATAGAATTAACTACAACCACCATGAGCACCACAACTTCAGGATCACCCACACCAGAGCCTACAACCAGCACTTCTGTATCACCACCACCGGTACCTACATCCCCAGTGACATCCTCCACATCTAGAGTCACTGAAAAAGAATCAACCACCGAAACCACCACATCAAGACCCACACCCTCAGGAACCCCTCAACACAGCACCACAATTGTAACGAAAACATCAAGCCACGAGACGACCTCCACTGGGACAAGGAGCCCCACAGGCACATCACCTACAACCACCATAAGCACCACAACTCCAGGATCACCCACGCCACAGCCTACAACCAGCACTACTGTATCACCACCACTGGTACCTACCACCTCTGTGACAGCCACCACGTCTGGAGTCACTGAATCAGGATTGACCACCAAAACCACCATATCAAGCCCCACACCCTCAGGACCTCCTCCCGCCACTACCAGAGTGGTAACAGAGACATCTCGTCCTTTGACAACAACTGCAACTAGCAGTATGTTAACAAGATCACCTGTTACCACCACCACAACTCCAGGATCACCCACGCCAGAGCCTACAACTAGCACTACTGTATCACCACCACCCTTATCAACAACCCCAGTGACAGCCACCACATCTGGTGTCACTGAAATAGGATTGACCGCCAAGACTACCATATCAAGCCCAACACCCTCAGGACCTCCTGCCCCCACTACCACAGTGGTAACAGAGACATCTCGTCCTTTGACACCAACTGCAACTAGCAGTATGTTAACAAGATCACCTGTTACCACCACCACAACTCCAGGATCACCCACGCCAGAGCCTACTACAAGCACTACTGTATCACAGACACCGGTACCTACAATCTCTGTGACAGCCACAACATCTGGAGTCACTGAAACAGGATCGACCACCAAGACCACCACATCAGGACCCACACCCTCAGGAACCCCTCAACACAGCACCACAACTGTAACTGAAACATCGAGCCATGAGACCACGTCCACTGGGACAGGGAGCTCCACAAGCACATCACCTACAACCACCATAAGCACCACAACTTCAGGATCACACATGCCTGAGCCTATAAGCAGCACTACTGTATCACCACCACTGGTACCTACAACCTCTGTGACGGCCACCACATCTGGAGTCACTGTAACAGAATCGACCACCAAAACCACCACATCAAGCCCCACACCCTCAGGAACCCCTCAACACAGCAGCACAATTGTAATGGAAACATCGAGCCATGAGACCACCTCCGCTGGGACGAGGAGCCCCACAAGCGCATCACCTACAATCACCATAAGCACCACAATTCCAGGATCACCCACGCCAGAGCCTATAACCAGCACTACTGTATCACCACCACCCTTATCAACAACCCCAGTGACAGCCACCACATCCAGTGTCTCTGAATCAGGACTGACCACCAAAACCACCATATCAAGACCCACACCCGCAGGACCTCCTATCTCCACTACCACAGTGGTAACAGAGACATCTCGTCCTTTGACACCAACTGTAACTACCAGTACATCAGCAGGATCAACTGTTAGCACCATCACAATTTCAGGATCACCCATGCCTGAGCCTACTACAAGCACTACTGTATCACCTCCCCTGGTATCAGCAACCCCAGTGACAGCCACCACGTCTGGAGTCACTGGAACAGGATCGACCACCAAAACCACCACAGCAATACTCACACCATCAGGAACCCCTCAACCTACCACCACAATTGTAACGGAAACATCGAGCCAGGAGACCACCTCCACTGGGACGGGGAGCCCCACAAGCACATCACCTACAACGACCATAAGCACCACAACTCCAGGATCACCCACACCAGAGCCTATAACCAGCACTACTGTATCACAACCCCTGGTATCAGTAACCCCAATGACAGCCATAACATCTGGAGTCACTGAAACAGGATCGACCACCAAAAGCACCACATCAAGACCCACACCCTCAGGAACCCCTCGACACAGCACCACAATTGTAACTGAAACATCGAGCCATGAGACCATGTCCACTGGGACAGGAAGCCCCACAAGCACATCACCTACAACCACCATAAGCACCACAACCCCAGGATCACCCATGCCACATCCTACAACCAGCATTACTGTATCACCACCACTGGTAGCTACAACCCCAGTGACAGCCACCACGTCTGGAGTCACTGAATCAGTATTGACCACCAAAACCACCATATCAAGCCCCACACCCTCAGGACCTCCTGCCCCCACTCCCACAGTGGTATCAGAGACATCTCGTCCTTTGACAACAACTGCAACTAGCAGTACATCAGCAAGATCAACTGTTATCACCATCACAAGTTCAGGATCACCCACGCCAGAGCCTACAACTAGCACTACTCTATCACCACCACCCTTATCAACAACCCCAGTGACAGCCACCACATCTGGTGTCACTGAAATAGGATTGACCACCAAGACTACCATTTCAAGCCCAACACCCTCAGGACCTCCTGCCCCCACTACCACAGTGGTAACAGAGACATCTCGTCCTTTGACACCAACTGCAACTAGCAGTATGTTAACAAGATCACCTGTTACCACCACCACAACTCCAGGATCACCCACGCCAGAGCCTACTACAAGCACTACTGTATCACAGACACCGGTACCTACAATCTCTGTGACAGCCACCACGTCTGGGGTCACTGAAACAGGATTGACCACAAAAACCACCACATCAAGCCCTACACCCTCAGGAACCCCTCAACACAGCACCACAATTGTAACTGAAGCATCGAGCCATGAGACCACGTCCACTGGGACAGGGAGCCCCACAAGCACATCACCTACAACCACCATAAGCACCAAAACTTCAGGATCACCCATGCCTGAGCCTATAACCAGCACTACTGTATCACCTCCCCTGGTACCTACAACCTCTGTGACAGCCACCACGTCTGGAGTCACTGAAACAGGATTGACCACCAAAACCACCACATCAAGCCCCACACCGTCAGGAACCCCTCAGCATAGCACCACAATCGTAATGGAAACATTGAGCCATGAGACCATGTCCACTGGGACAGGGAGCCCCTCAAGCACATCACCTACAACCACCATAAGCACCACAACTCCAGGATCACCCACGCCACAGCATACAACCAGCACTACTGTATCACCACCACTGGTGCCTACAACCTCTGTGACAGCCACCACGTCTGAAGTCACTGAATCAGGATTGACCACCAAAACCACCATATCAAGCCCCACACCCTCAGGACCTCCTCCCGCCACTACCACAGTGGTAACAGAGACATCTCGTCCTTTGACAACAACTGCAACTAGCAGTACATCAGCAAGATCAACTGTTACCACCATCACAAGTTCAGGATCACCCACGCCAGAGCCTACAGCTAGCACTACTGTATCACCACCACCCTTATCAACAACCCCAGTGACAGCCACCACATCTGGTGTCACTGAAATAGGATTGACCGCCAAGACTACCATATCAAGCCCAACACCCTCAGGACCTCCTGCCCCCACTACCACAGTGGTAACAGAGACATCTCGTCCTTTGACACCAACTGCAACTAGCAGTATGTTAACAAGATCACCTGTTACCACCACCACAACTCCAGGATCACCCACGCCAGAGCCTACTACAAGCACTACTGTATCACAGACACCGGTACCTACAATCTTTGTGACAGCCACCACGTCTGGTGTCACTGAAACAGGATCGACCACCAAGACCACCACATCAGGACCCACACCCTCAGGAACCCCTCAACACAGCACCACAATTGTAACTGAAACATCGAGCCATGAGACCACGTCCACTGGGACAGGGAGCTCCACAAGCACATCACCTACAACCACCATAATCACCACAACTTCAGGATCACCCATGCCTGAGCCTACAACCAGCACTACTGTATCACCACCACTGGTACCTACAACCTCTGTGACAGCCACCACGTCTGGAGTCACTGAAACAGGATTGACCACCAAAAACACCACATCAAGCCCCACACCCTCAGGAACCCCTCAACACAGCACCACTATTGTAATGGAAACATTGAGCCATGAAACCATGTCCACTGGGACAGGGATCCCCAGAAGCACATCACCTACAACCACCATAAGCACCACAACTCCAGGATCACCCACGCCAGAGACTGCAACTAGCACTACTGTATCACCCCCCCTAGTATCAACAACCCCAGTGACAGCAACCACGTCTGGAGTCACTGAAACAGGATTGACCACCAAAACCACTACACCAAGCCTCACACCTTCAGGAACCACTCAACACAGCACCACAATTGTAACGGAAACATCGAGCCACAAGACCACGTCCACTGGGACAGGGAGCCCAACGAGCACATCACCTACAACCACCATAAGCACCACAAGTCAAGGATCACCCACGCCACAGCCTACAACCAGCACTACTGTATCACCACCACTGGTATCAACAACCCCAGTGATAGCCACCACATCTGGCATCTCTGAAACTGGTTCGACCACCCAAAAAACCATATCAAGCCCCACACCTTCAGGACCTCCTCCCGCCCCTACCACAGTGGTAACAGAGACATCTGGTCCTTTGACAACAACTGCAACTAGCAGTACATTAACAAGATCAGCTGTTACCACCATCACAAGTTCAGGATCACCCACGCCAGAGCCTACAAGTAGCACTGCTGTATCATCACCTCCGGTATCAACAACCCCAGTGACAGCCACCACGTCTGGAGTCACTGAAACAGGATTGACCACCAAAAGTACCACTTCGGGCCTCACAACTTCCGAACTGTTTCCCTTCAGCACCCCGACAGTAACAGGAACTGGTAGCCCCCTGTCAAGCACTGCAGCTTACGCTACTTTAGTAAGATCTACTGCTATCAACACAGCAACAACTGTGGGGCTATCTTCTGCAGAGCCTACAGCCAGCATAACTGTACCTCAGTCATCCGTATCAAGTCCCATGTCAGTCACCACCTCTGGTACAACTCCAACAGAGTCTTTTACCATGACTTCAGGAACTACCTCTAGTAATTTTACCACAATCACTGCAACCACCACCACCTCTGGAATTCTTTCCTCTGGCTCAACTAGTATGTCTGTTCCAATTGCTACCTCAAGTGCAGTCACCATTCCAGGAAGCTCTACATACAGTACAGTTACTAAATTCAGTGCTTCGAGTTCAACTCTAAGTCTACCACCAACCACTCCTGGAAAAAATTGTTCTATTTCACCTAACGAATCTTACGCGGTGAGTAGATTTCTGCTGTGGATGGAGACTAACCACGTAATTTCTATGTTAATAACATATAGAGGATGTATTAATCTGGAAAGAAGAACAAGTTTTAATCCATTCTATTTATTTATGGTTTTTTTTTTGTGTATCAGCATGATTTCCAATGATATTCAGTTTGATAGCTTGTATACTGCTATTAGTTCTTCAAGTATAGTTTTAAAAAGATTTTTCAGGGACGTAGGTAACAGTTCTGTGTTCCTATTTAGGATAGCTTTGATGAAGAGGTAAACAAGAGCAAAGTGGTGCTAAACTATCTTTTTTATTTCTGCTTTTGAATAAGTCTAGAGTGGGTAAAAGTTGTTTATGTGTTTACAGTGCAGCCCAACAAGGAACCAGAGGGCTGTAGTAGTCTGTGTTTAGAATGAGTCATACTGGGTCATAGTCTGGTTTCAGGAGAGTACTATGAAACAGATCAGCGCATTCAAATGCTAATGACATTTGACTCAGGGTTCTGAGGTTTTTCGAACCCTCCACTTCTGACACAGACAAGCTAATGTCTTGTACATTTTTAAAGCCTCCTCACAGCTTAGATGTTTATCAATTTGCTTAGTATACAATATTATACATGGCGGAAAAACTGGTAGAAGATAGACAAAATGCATACAATCACAATGCATGCATGTAATGACCTTAGGCATTACCTCCCAAATAACTGGTGTTCACTGTGTCTTTAGCTCTTAATCTGTTCGAGGCATTCACGGAAGGGGATTGCTTATATATTCATCATGGATCTGGATCAGTATCTTTCACTGATACTGGCTTAGAAAGGGAGTCTAGATGATGAAATTATATCAGACATTTAACTTTTAGATACCCGAAACTAAAAAAGGCAATTCCCACTTGAGGTTACTGGTTTGACTTTTATAAGTAATGCTTTTCAATCAGCAGCTCTCAGTAGTGCTAGTTCATCCTGCAGGCCTTTGTACTGCCTGCTGCACTTCCCATTTTCAGACTTCTGGTGGGAAAAAAATTGTCAATAAAAATATGACATTTTAAATACTGCAAAAGATTTTCAGGCGTAACTGCTGGTAATTTGACCATAAGGTTTCTCTCCCTCTTCCATCAAATACTCTCTTTCCAAACACAGCCAGGTGAATCATGGTGGCTCTGCAACTGCACTAAGGCCATATGCATAGAAGATGATGTAATCCAGGTGGTTCCCATAATCTGTAATCCACCTCCTAAACCTACATGTGCCAATGGTCTTTCTCCTGTACAAGTCATTGATGAGGATGGATGCTGTTGGCACTGGGAATGTGACTGTAAGTATATATTTTGTTGAATATTTTGTCATTGTCTGTGGGAACAATGCTAGTGTCAAGAGCAACAGTATTTTTTTTATTAGGGGATAAGTATCACACAAGGTTGTGGCCCTCAGACTTCTAGTGTTGGACTATTTGCAGTGCTTCAATGATTCTTTTTAGCTACTGAGGGCTTTTACTTATATGCCATAATTTCTATATAATTATTGTGTTAGGAGAAGTAATTGGTCTCCCAAGGCAGGATGTAAATATCCAGATGCCAACATCTATCTAAAGGCTAGAAGCCTACATATACTTGGGAGTGTTGTTTGATGAGAGGCTCAGCACAATGTGCACTTGCAGCCCAGAAAGCCAACCGTATCCTGGCCTGCATCAAATGACACCTACAAGAAGGCAGGAGAGGGATTTTTTATAAAAGCAGGTAGTGATAAGAAAAAGGGGAATGGCTTTAAACTGAAAGAGGATAGATTCAAATTAGATATTAGGAAGAAATTCTTCACTGTGAGGGTGGTGAGGCACTAGAACGGGTTGCCCAGAAAAGCTGTGGCTGCCCCATCCCTGGACGTGTTCAAGGCCAGGTTGGACAGGTCTTTGAGCAACCTGATATAGTGGAAGGTGTCCCTGCCTGTGGCAGGAGGGTTGGAACTAGATGAACTTAGTCAGGCTATCTGTAAAGGTATGTCTAGGATGAAGTTAATCCTATTCTCCATTGTCAGAAATGTCAGATGAGCTGTGCCCTGAAAGTGCCTGTTTTCCTCTATTATTTATGTGTTCTAGATAACGAGCTCATGCATTGACATACACACTTTAAAAATGCTTAAAGTTACATGAAATGAATCCCTACAGATTTTGTTTGTAGTCTGGCCTAATTCTGTGTGTTGCCATAAGGAGCTAACCTAGCTGTATGTTTCTGTAGGCTACTGCATTGGCTGGGGAGACCCACATTACATGACTTTCGATGGACTGTACTACAGCTATCAAGGGAATTGTACATATGTCCTTGTGGAAGAGATTGATAAGAAAGTTGACAACTTTGGTGTCTACATTGATAACTACAATTGTGATGTACGGGATGTAGTCTCCTGTCCTCGAACACTCATTGTGAGACATGAGACTCAGGAAGTGCGCATAGCAACAGTCAAACAAAATACTCTGCAAGTAGAGGTATTGGAAAATGCTACGTTTGATTTCTTGGTTAAAATAATAGTGTAACATCAACTTGATAATTATGTACACAATGTCAGGGGAAAAAATTAAAATCAAATCTGTGTTTCAGAATTAATACTAGCTTGGACTTTTCCACAAAGGAAAATAACAAATGTTGAATGGGAGGTTATAACATAAATTAGGCATAAGATTTAAAGCATTGGCCTTAAGCATTTTTTTAAAGTGAAATTACTAGCTTTGACTGATGTCAATGTTTTCATTTTGCAGAATAGGGCCTATTATGTGTTTATTTAATTGATAAACATGATGTCCCAGTTTTGAGCCTTCAAAATTGGATAAGAAGTGTTTGGGTTTGTGGTTTTGGGGGTTTGGTTAGTTTAGTTTTGTACATTACTGTGTGGGAATATTACAAGTTAGGTTGCAGGATGTTGTTGAAAATTTGCAACATTTAGACCATTTTTTTTTCTGTAAAGCAAAGCAAACTACCTTTGCTGAGTAAAAGCAGTCGTGTTAGTTCCATAGGTATATGACTACTGTATTTAAATAAATAATACAGATTTTGGCTTATTTCTTTAATTTGATTTTCCTACAACCATGTTCCCTTTTTGCCCAGAAAGTTAAAACTGTGCCCACTAGGAATTTAGGAGGATTTCATATTGCACTTTCATAGGGTGTCCTTGATGTCATAGTCACTCTAATAAATCTGTTGAGTGTTAGAGTTCAGCTGGTTTAAACTCTGAATTTTAGCCTAGTTTATCAGTGGCTGACAGGCCTTTTTTTTTGGCTGAGGGAGGAGAAGTTTGGCTTTCCAGTAACACAAAAGGAAACACAGGGACAGTTGCTGCAAACTAAAAGCATCTTATTTGCTTTTACTTTCTGTCTCCCATGCAAAATAATGAATAGTCAATTCTTTTCTGAAGTCAAAATAAATATATGTCTCTTTTCTCTTTATTTATTAGGTGACAGTAAACAAACAGGAAGTGGCTTTGCCTTATAAAAAATTTGGTGTGAGTATCTATGAATCAGGCATAAATCGCGTAGTGGAAATTCCTGAACTAAAAATGAATGTGACCTACAATGGCTTGTCCTTTTCTATCAGAATGCCCTACAGCCTGTTTGGCAACAACACTCATGGACAGTGTGGTAAGGCTTACTCTTGTAGTTTTTGTACTCTCACAAAACCATAAACAGGGAAATGACAGCCTTGCCACCAAGATGAATGGAATTTGATTACAAATCTGTGCACAAATTCTTTCTCCCCTTACCAATTTTAGGTACTTGCAATAACAACACGGCAGATGACTGCATGTTGCCAAATGGAAACATTGCAGAAAATTGTGAAGTTATGGCAGATCACTGGCAAGTTATTGATCCCTCCAAACCACAATGCTCTCCAGGCCTAATTCCTACAAAAGCACCTAACACAACTCCAACGCCTTGCAAAGACTCTTCCATCTGCGAGCTTCTTTTGGGAAGGTAGACATTCCTTTGGGATTTATAAGCCTTTGATCTTCAAATTAAGTGGCAATTTTAAGATTCATTTATCCATAGGAAGTCTTTCTAACTATTACTCCATTTCTCATAGCTTTTTGGGTTGCCCCCATTCCTTTTACTGTTCCTGGATGTCATTCTTTGCTGATAGTTTGCTTCCAACTGTCTGGCTTCTACATAAACCTTTCTTATGTTCTCACATTCTTCTATATCTCTGACCTGCACTGTTCTATGCTCTTGTCTTTTCCCATGCTTAATTAGCAGAAAACAGAGTGCAACTGAAAAGAGAGATCTTCATTTTTAGAATGTTGTGTCAGGAATTGAAAAGAAACCCAAATAAACAAAATCTCTTTAGAGATTTTAGAACTAGTTTTAAAAAAGTAGTTCATGGTTGTTGTGGTTTAAGCCCAGCTGGTAACTCAGAACCATCCAGCTGCTCACTCACTTGCCCCTTTCCTTCCCCCCAGCTACCAGCAGGATGGGGAGGAGAATTGAAAGAATTTAAATCCCATGGGTTGAGATAAGAACAGTCCAGTAACTAAGGTATTATACAAAACTACTACCACCAATAATAATAATAGAAATAACAAGGGGAGAGAATATAAAAGGGGAAAGGAAAAAAACCAATCAATACAAGTGATGCACAATGCAATTGCTAACCACCCTCCAACCAATACCCAGCCTGACCCGAGCAGTGATATGGGCCTCCTGGGTAACTCCCCTAAGTTTATATACTGGGCATGGCGTGCTGTGGTATGGAATACCCCTTTGGCTAGTTTGGGTCAGGTGTCCTGTCTCTGCTTCCTCCCGGCTTCTTGTGCCCCTCCTCGCTGTCAGAGCGTGAGACTGAACAGTCCTTGATCGAGGTAAGCATTACTTAGCAACAACTAAAAACATTGCTGTATTATCAGCATTGTTCTTAGACTAAAGTTGAAAACACAGCACTGCACCAGCTACTAAGAAGGAGAAAGATAGCTGTTACAGCAGAACCCAGGACAATAGTTATGTTTGATAATATTCATGGGCAGAAAATATTGGTGCCTGGTTGTTTTGTAGGTGAGGGGAGGATACATTGCAAGGGGAAGATATGTTGCAAGGTTAAAATCTAGATAAGTGTTCCTAGTAAAAATCTCTCCATAATATAGTCCTTGCTCGTATCTCCTGAAGTACCACATATGCCACATCATAACCTGTTAAGCATCTTGAAGAATTCAGTAACTATTCAGTAACTAATAATGATAAATGTATATGTTTCTAGTGTGTTTGAGCCGTGCCATGGCCGTGTCCGGCCTGAAAAGTACTATTCAGCCTGTGTTTTTGATAGTTGCGTACTTCCCAACTTAGACCTGGAATGCTCAAGTCTGCAGATCTATGCTGCCACCTGTGCTGATCAAAGTGTATGCATTGACTGGAGAAGTCATACAAATGGTGTTTGCTGTAAGTATTTGGCTGTTTGTCCAGACTATTACAGAAGCTTATATGGAACTATTTTGGCAATAATGTCCTAAGAGTAAGTTATACTGTATTCCGATCAATGAAGACACCAGTAAATCACAACAGCTGCTTTTCTTAACTAATTTTACAGATTACATTTTTATCAGTGGAAATGATAAATGATCCTGCAAAAATATACATCAATTGACTGTGCCAGAAACACCTGTATCAATAGATACTTCTTTGTGCATGGGCAGTTTTATGTTTTGTAGGCATCAGCAGATCACTCTGTATTTAGTTACATATGCATTCATTTTCAGCTGTAGTAAGATGAGGACACACGGTATGAATACACTCCCCTTTGAGAACTTGTGAAAAAGAGAATAAAATTATGAAAAAAAAAGAAAAGAAATAACTTTATCTCTTTAATGTAAATTACAGTGTGAGGCATCCCTCCCCATGGAGGGGCTAGAACTAGATGATGGTAAGGTCTTTTCCAGCCCTAACCATTCTATGATTCTGTATCTATATGGCTACATTGCATAAAATAATTCCTTTCAGAGACATGAGTCTGATACCTGGTTCTGGTAGTTTTTCTCTTTGTTTCTCAAGATTGTCAAAGATACATATGGAAATGAGTATTCAGTTTTGAAGTTCTTGACATAAAGTCATGGGACTTTTATATGAAAATTGTCACTGAATTCTTCCTCCTTTTTATTCTCCCATTCCAGCTTATACATGCCCCTCAGATAAAGAATACAGAGCATGTGGTCCTATTAAAGAGATAACCTGCAAATCAAGGTAAATAATTCCATGTTATAGTTCATACAAGTAGCTGTTCAGTCATATTTAATGCATAGGTAGATAAATCAACCTCCTGTTATGTCTTAAATTGACTGGTACCATTGTTCTCTTCATCCTAAATGAGAGTGCATGTACTGTTTATATTGTTTGGTTATACCAAACATGAACACTGACAGTACCTAAATCGCAAATATGCATATTCTTTGCCACTGTATCTTCAGTGAAAGATTATTTGGCATAATCCTCCTCTGCATGTCTATGATAGTAATGGCGTTCCTCTGAAATTTTGTCTCATATAGCCAGCAAAATGAAACTTCAACTAAACAAGTGGAAGGCTGTTTCTGTCCTAATGGAACAATGCTGTATGACTCTGGTGTGAATGTCTGTGTAAAAACATGTGGTGAGTTTTACTGCTTCACTTGGATGCATGTTTGTTTCCTCTTTGTTGTTTCCTTTTGATGTATACAGCATAGATCTGACTGTATGCAGTACTCATCCAACATATAGTAGAGATATCTACTGTTATATCAGTGGTAATTGAAATTTATTTTGATATTTTCACAGGCTGTGTTGGAGTGGATAAGATATCAAGAGAGGTATGCTGCCATATGCTTTTGTATTTCAAATAGAGGCTGAGCCTGGGGAGAGGAAAGTGGTGTCTACTTGTGCAGTCTTGCTTTGTGGTCTCCCAAATTTTCATTCCTGTTTTTACTTCTGTTCTTTTTAATTGGTAATCATGCAATCACTCACTTTATTTTCTTTAATGACAGTTTGGGGAAAAGTTTACAGTAGACTGTCAGGACTGTATTTGCCTGGAAGGTGGAAATGGCATTGTATGTAAGCCTCATGAATGTGCCAAACAAAATAAGACCACTTGTGATGGAGAAGGCCTCCATGAAGTCAGTGAAGTCAATCCTGATGACTCCTGCTGCCCCATTATCACATGCAGTGAGTTTACACTTTTGTTTTCATTCTTCCTGTACCTTTTAGGGTGAGAAAGATAAAAAGAACTGGACTAGTTTAGCACCAGAGACTTGCAGCAGGGAGTCATAAAATAGTATCTTTCTTCATGCTTTTTAAAATCAGCTTGCCCAGTGTTAGGGAAAATACATTTTAATATTGCAATGGCTCAGGATAACTGAATTTAAAATTATGGGACTCAGCTAAATCTATAGTTCTCAAGTTCAGCACCACATTTTATTCACGTGAAATGCAGATAGATTACTGAATTCTATGTGGGTTTTCATTTTGCAGCAATTACTTACAACATTGGAGATAACAGTTGTCCACTAATTCTCTGCAAAGAATTGTTAGTGCTTGTAATTACATAGTTGAAAAATTTTCACAAACTAGTGCCTGGATTCACTAAGAAAAATGTGTTCTCTTTCTGAAATTTGTTTCTTTGGAGAAGATTGAGACTGTTGCTTATCAATAGGAAGTCTATCCTAAATGCTTTATTAGATGTCTATTTCTTGTAGCTGTGATTTAGTATACTTTCTGGCTTATTCCTTTTTTTTCAGAATGCAATACAAGCTTGTGCACAACTAATGCCCCCAGGTGTACACTGGGATTTGAAGTTCATTCTCACATTCCCAGGGGCCAATGCTGTCCTGTGTACCAGTGTGGTAAGTCTCTTGGAAATATATTAACAATGATTAGCAGTATATATTGAATAATTTAGTATCACACTTAGTAAGCCTGTATACAGTAGCCTGTTGAAAGAGGTAGCAAACAGTCAGATTCTACAAATTGGTTACTATTAACATTAGTTACTACTGCTATGGTTATGCTGAAAACCTACAAAATCAGATACAGCTCATGTGGCTCAAATTCAAGTTTCCTTGTTGTAAGTACATATCAGAACAGCTACAGAATTAACTGGAATTGTGGTTTCAGTTTAATCTAAGAAAATGTCCTGCCAGGCATCCCCAGTAGAAGACAGCTTTACAAAATCTGCTTTGCTCTTGGTAATTGAAACAAGGATTTACTTGTACCTGTTAAATGTGCATTCTTGGCTATTAACTGGACTGAGTATAATGGGCTAAATCTTCCTTTCAAGCATGCGGTATTAGTTCTTGTATTCATGTAAGTCATATCTGCTACCAGAAATGGACAAACAATGTATTTGACCATATGCATTGTGATTCATTGTGGAAGGAATGAGTTTAACTAGAGCGGGGTGAAGAGGTTTGTTTTTTTTTTCCCCTCTGTATAACCACCTATCTCCTTGATTGTTAACAGTTTCCAAGGGGGTTTGTGTACATCAGAATGCTGAATTCTTGGTAAGTTCCTATTTCAATAGTCTTCTGAAAATGGTTTAAATACCAGTTAGTATACTTTATCAGAAGTATTATGAGGAGGTTTATCTAGTACAATCAAGTATTTTAGCAGTTTTCAAATGTCTATCAGGAGTCCATCAGTTTTACAAAGCCTAAATCTTTTCTGTAAAGGTTGCTGTGTATAAGAGACTGAAAAGCTGTTTGTATGTCAGTAGCAGAGAGATTCGCATTTAGAGTTAAGTGTACATGCATTTTAAAAAATCAGCTGACGTCTTATGATGTCAGCACATTGTTGCAATTTTAAGACTCTGCTTTCAAAAATGATAATATTTGTAAATAAGTATTATTCTAAACAGACTTAGATTCCTAATAAAGTATGTTTGGTCTAGTAATTTATTTATCGCAGATATTTTTATGACACCTGTTCTTTAGATATCTGAGTTTATAATTGCTATATAGGACTTCAGTAAAGATACACGCTAAATTAAATCCAATATTTAAAATGTTGTCTCATAAATGTCCAACCAAATAGCTATCCAATAGTTGCTATGATTGTTTTGTTTTCTATTGATTAGTTTACTGATTTTTTAGAAATTAAGAAATGTCTGTCACACATGTCATGTCTGATTAATATATGAACCTTTTTGTCTTCAAATTTGTAGCCTAATTCCTCAGTCTTTGTTGATAAGTGTCAGAATTGTTTCTGCACTAATGAAGTTAACGTCAGCACTCAACTGAATATCATCTCATGTGAACATATTCCATGCAACACAGATTGCAAACCAGTAAGTGACAAACTTCAAACAAACAAACAAAAAGCCAAAATACCCATGTATGTGAAAAGGAGTTTGATCCATGAGAGGTATAAGCAAAGGACAAGGAGCAGAAATCCAGAGTCCAACTCCAGCATGGATACCAGCTGTTCTTGAGCAGTCTATTACATGAAGCTTGACTGTGTAACTTACAGTATTCAGTTCATATTGAACTAGCTGGGAAATTTCTGTAGAGCACATAGTAGAGTTGTATTTAATTATTAGGCATATTTATTTTAGTGCTTTAATTTATTCCACCTATAGCCTGCTTTTATTACTTGTCTTCCATTGTGTTGGAACACTGAAAGGTACGCAAAAGCACAAATCTATAGTGCACTTCAAAGCATAATCAATTAATGTGTTAGTATGTTTTCATTTATTTCTCTGAAATATATCTATCATAGTACTTTCATTTTTAATTAATTTTAATATTTAGGGATATGAACATCAACCAGTGGAAGGTGAATGTTGTGGAAGATGTGTGCAGACTAAGTGTATTATACAAACAGCCAACAATTCTGACCTCATCTTGAGCGTAAGTATGCTCTACATCTTCTTTACCAAATTTGTAAAGTTCCCCCTTTCAGAGAGGGAACATCTCCTTTTCAGAGATAAGGCTTAGTATAAGTTTGCACCTAAAAGGTCATAGGCTCACCTAAAGCAAAGCCTATCTGCATTTTTTTGGCTTGAAAAAAGGACTTTTATAATCGAATTTTCTGGAAGGCTCTTCCTGGAATAACAAATCTAATACCATTGGAAAGATTTTTCTTGCAATGTCTGGAAGCTTGGGCTTTTCTATATTATGTAATTTCTGTGTGTTGAAAAACACTATTAAAGCCTGAATATGAAACCGTTTTATTGCCCTGTAGGGTGAAAGTTTAGGATTGTTCTTAATTACCATATTTAGTTTAGCTTTCCCTAGGCAAAATCCATTGCCATAGATTATTCTGTTAATAACTCTGATGTACTCTACATACTTTAGAGGGATTTTTCTTTTGCAAGGGAAATCACATGTAAACATGACTATTCTTTCCATATATGGCATACTGCAATGCATATAATAAGCTGTTAACCTAAAATAATTAAAATGGCTGTTAAGTGGATGTTAAGCTAAAATAATTGACTGGGGAACAATGAGGAGAGTCATTGTCAGAGGGCAGGAAAATTTCTGACTAAGCTCCCTTCAGCTTTCATTATTACGTTTTGTATTTCACTTGCAGCCTGGAGAGTTTGAAAATGATCCTAACAACAACTGCACCATTTATAGCTGTGTAAATATCCAGAACCATCTTCTCTCTTCTAAATCTGAGATAACCTGCCCAGCGTTCAATGAAGACAGCTGCAAACCCGTAAGTAAATATGGAAAACTTACTCTCTACTCAATGTATAGATTACTTCAGTTTACTTCAGCCACTTAACTATCAACAAAAGTCCAATAAAGCTCCGATGACCTTTCACCAACGTCTGTCCGTCCCAAAGGCAAAAGTTTTGCTCCATCCATGCACAGACCTATACAGTGTATGAAGTAAGATATCTGGGTGATAGTTCATGGCTTGTAGCTGGCAGCAGTCTCTCAGCAGCCAAAATACTGTTCAGCACTTAGATACAAAGTCCTTGCTGACTGCTTTGTGTGGGGCTCTGCAAAACATTTTTTTGGAATTTTTTCTGAGGAAAAATTGCATGATGTTAACTGTAGGCTTCCTTCAAAGCATTATCTCAATTTTCACAGTCCTTTGTAAATGGCTATATTTCAAGTCTAGAAGACATCATTATCTTTTTTATCAGAACAATCCTTCAGTTTTTGCTGGTTATTTCCAGCCATTGAGGAATCACTCTATTCAGTATTGGCCTAAAAGCTGCTTTAATAAAGGGAAAGAAAATAATCTTATTTTTCCTGTTTCTTTGTCTTTTAGGGAACTATTGCATTCTTACCTAACGGTTGTTGCAAAACCTGTAAGTATTCCAGTGTACCTGAATCAATAATACAGAGAATGAATTTTCTTTTATATCAATCCGTTTCCCAGCCATAAAGGCTGAAATGTTTGTATTCAAATAGATTATATTTGTGTTTGTTATTCCAAGCATTCCCTGTCCATGTCTCTAGGAAAGTTGAAATGGAAGCAGAAAGACCACTAAAGACGATTTGAGTGCACTAGTGAAGTCCAGCAATTGTTGAACTGCAAGGAGCTTCTGGAGCTGTTTCACTGAAAGTATTTTCTAATCTTTCCCTGTAGGTATACCCCTGGATAGTCCTACACCGTGTTCTGTCCGTCAAAGGAAAGACTTTATCCTCTATAAGGGCTGTCGTTCTGTGGACAGAGTTGTCATGACTGAATGTGAAGGAACATGTGGAACCTTCTCGCTGTAAGTAAACTGATCAGACAATGGGATTTGAATTCTGCTGGCACTGAGCTTCTTTATATAAAAAGAACAATAAATAGTTAGACTGCAGAGTGCTAGAGGACTTGAAACTATCGGCTCCCCAGAGAAACTGTCATTTGCTGCCTATCACTGAATATGCCACAGGGCACCTTAGAGGGGAGAAAACTGATCTTTAGTCTCAGATTAAGCCCCTATTAGCTAGGTGGTTTACCAGTATTTTGAAATACCTTATCATCTTAGAGTCTTGCTCTGGTTGCCTCTGCACCAGTACAAGAAAAAGATGACTTTTGACACAGTTTATAGACTGATACTGACAGATTCTGCCACTTAGGAAAGGTGCTTGTGAAGCTGATGACCACAAGGCTTCAAAAAAATACTTTGCTGTAAGATAGGAACAGAAAGAGCTGCTGCTTCCTCTTCCTGTTAACACTGCTGGGTATGGGACATGCACTTTGATTCACACAATGCGATTGTAGCCCTTGTAGCCAATTGATTGATGTGATGCCATTGTAGATGGCATTGTAGCCACTTGTCTGTACAGTATTTTTACTCAGGTCAGGGCTTTGTCTGCCCTTAATTATTCATCTGGTGTATTTAATATCCATCAGGGCTGGAATGATGAGAGGAATTTAAGGAAGCTGAGCTCCTAGAACTTACTGGGTTATTAGGACTTCAATGCTAATTGTTTTTCCAGAAGAAAAGAAAAATCTCAGCAAATGCAATGAATTTTATAAGCATACTGTTATAAACATTGTTCTGTCAGATGAGTTTAGCACTTTCATTAGCCACAACTGTGGCTCTTCTATATATTATTCCAAACTTCTCACAGTAGTTCCATATTTAATTTCACCCTCTTCTTTATATGCTGGCCTCTGACACAGAGTAATGTTGCCATTTTCATGTTAACAGATATTCTGCTGAGGCCAATTTTCTGGACCACAGCTGTTCCTGCTGCAGGGAATCAAGGACTACCATGAAGGAAGTGAAACTGAAATGTCCCTCTGGGAGTTCAATTTCACACAAGTATATATATGTGGAAAGCTGCAGCTGTCAAGACACTGAATGCAGCAACTCACGGTCCAGTGAGCTGCAGACCACAGAAGAAAATGATGAGGCAAGCACTGTAGACCGTATCAAGAGGGCCATCAGCTTAACATCAAAATGAACAGGAAAAAAACTAGCAGCATTCAACTAAAAGGGTTATGCACCATTCTCATCTTCCTTGACAACTTTTGAACTTTACTTTTCCCAGTTACTGTATCCTGTTTGTTCTCTGATTATTTTTAACAGTGCTGTATTTATTTGTGCACAAAATAAGAACACAGATTTGTATTCTTCCAAGTGCACAGCCTGTTGGTTCCTTATATAATCAGCTTATTTCCTTTGAATGATTAAAAGCACATTTCAAAAAACACGGATTTTGTACTTACTCACATGTTGTCTTGATGAGCCTGAGTTTTAAAAGGGAAGAAAAGTTCTTTTCCAGTTGTAGGAAGTCAACTGACATATTTCTTAAACTTTTGGGGTATCTATTTCTCGCTCTTTAAAAAATGAAGTATCAAGAAGGTACTGTCTGGAGGACCCAGTGCGTAAGCAAGGGCAGAAATTGATGTTGCCAGAACAAAACCAAATATGAAGAATGATCATGAAGTGATTCAAATGACTCAGAGAAACTCGGAAAACTTTGAAAAAAGTTTAGCACCAGATCTTATTTTAGCAGGGCTGTCTCAGTTCATCACAGTTATATATTTTCACTAAGAAAGTGGTCCCTCAGCTTCAGAATATGAAGTTCATTCACAGTGCTTGATGGATGTATAGATAGTACTGTAGTAAGAGCTCTCCAAATTCCAAATGCTTATAAAACATTGGAATGCCCATCTCTGAGCTAGTTATCATAAGCTTCCTTTACAGGAAACTGAGAGAAATAGTCATTTCTGGCATTCATTTGCCTCACAACAAAGGACATATCTGAAAGAGGTCAAATGAATTACATTCTGAAGTGCCTGTTTTTCTGATCTTACTGTAAGGGAGCTGAAGGAGATCAGCTGAGATACGGGCATCTTTTGACTTACCGGAAGTACAATGAGGGTAATCCACACCTTCTGCTGAGTGTGAAAATGCTTTTGGTATTATTTCGTCTCTTTTAATGAACACAAATTGTGCTTTACCCTTCTAAGAACTTAAAGTAACATTAAGATTCAACATTAAGTAATGTTGAGCCACAGTCAATCTGAATACAAGCAACCTTGCTACCTATCACCATTTTGTGCTACTATTAGTCCTGCCAAATGTGATGCAACTTAGAATGCAGACACCAGTAGGAATGCACAGAAAATGAAACTACTGAAGTTTTGCATCTTTAGAATATTAAGATTAGAGAGCTGATTTCTGTGAAGCTTAAAATTATATAGGTAGATTAAGAAGTTCCATCAGTTTACAAAGCAAGCTCCAGTACTAATGAAGCCTGGTTTCTGCTTCAGTACGAGATTCTAAGGATTTCTGTCTCTAGGTTCATCGTGAAATGTGACTGAGACTTTTCTCCTGGGGCATTTACCAGGTCATTCTCCTTTCTGGATTCTTTGTCACATCTAACAGTTTCTGTGCTGACACTATAGCCATTAATTTTCTGGAGTGGTTTGAAAAAAATACTTTTCTCAAAATCTGTTGACATTAACCACCTCTGAGATCTTCATTTTAGCAGTTAAATTTAGCTGAGGTCAGCAAATCTGAGGTCAGCAAATAGCTTCTGGAGACAAACAGATACAAAGTGTGATCAAATCTGCCTCGTTTCCTATGAAAATGAGATAAAACATTCCAAATCAGTAGTGGCATTTTATTGCACACTGTATTTACGCTGAAGACTGAAATCTCCCTTGCTTCAATTTTTTAATTTGTTCTGCAAATGTTCTGGTCTCTTTCTGTACCTTCTAGTGATGAGCATACTACTTCTAAATAAGGAAGTTAAAAGGTACTGTACAAAAGTCAGTAAGGCTGCAGATTTTGGCTACGCCACTGCAGGGCAGTCTATGGCCAAGAATTTAAAATTATTTCAGACACAGAAAAAGCAAGCTGCTTCCAGAAGGGAATTTGTACTTCAACTAGAGGGGTTTACCTCTGAGAGGAATGTATGCTGGTATTCCCCACCCAGCCACTTACATGCTTTTAGTAAGCACTGAAAAAAATTTATTCTGACAGGAATTTAGATGCATGCACAGGATGGTATTCCTTTCAGTGCTCTGGATTATATCAGTGCCTTCAGTTTTGGTGCTATGTCAGTGCTGCCCATAAACAGGCTCCCAAGCTGGTTTTGTCACAGAATTCTTACCTACAAGTGCTTGGTAGTTCCAGGTCAAACTGTACATGTCAAACCTCCACCCCTTTCTGTACTCTTAGTCATGGTTCAGATTGTACCTGTATTTCCATTGGAACTGGATGACTAAGTAGAACAAATTAATCTTTTTCCATCAGAGAAATCCACAAATAGTCTTTTGGAGAGAAAGGAAGAAAAGAAGCTTTAATTGTGTGTCCCTACAAAGACAGTAATAGTGGCAGTGAGCAATACTTTTGCTCCTTAAACAGCCCTCATGGAAGTAAACAGAGACTTGACCTACCTGATCCCATGGAGCATTTTGTTTCTTAAGCAAGAGCTGTTGTGTCTGTAGGTCACAAGCAGAGATTCATCTGGAAAACCAAAGAGATGAACTGAAGAAATTTCTCACAAGGCTGTGTTAGCCCTTTAGGGCCTCAGAGGAGATGGTAGAACCTTCTTACCCTGTTATCTCCTAGGCAGGACCTACTGCAAAGGGTGCTGGCAGCTTCATAAAATGCATTGGTTCTGGAAGGGAATGGGCTTGACTCCCTCTGTCCTCCAAGAATTATTCCATTCCCCAGGAATTTTCTTGTCTTCTGGAGTCTTGCAAGAAGGAAGCAGTAGCAAGAGCCATAGCAGAGTTCAGATGAGTGGCAGAGTGGCTAATACACTGTCATGTCTCCATACGCAAATCATATGTTCATCTCCTCTAAGACTTTCTGTCTAGCCTTTCACTTTCATTGGTGGCAAAGGGTTTCTTTTGGGTTTGTTTCTTTTTCTTCATCACCAGTTAGCAGAGAAGCAAGGAAGTCTTGGGAGGCAAGTGGGACTTCCAGCCACACAGCCTTTGAAGGCACTAAAAGCCAAGGTAATAGCTCTTGCTCTCCAAGAGCTGCTTGATTTGGCCTCACTTTGTTGCATTGTCCATAAGGAAGAGATGAGCAGAGTTCCTCTAAGCATGGTGTGTGAACACGTTCCTGAGGCTCTCAAAGAAGTACTTGAACCTGGTTGGACATCATGCTGAACGAAGCAAAACAAAACAAATCATGGCCTTATTGCTGTTCTCCCTAAGGTAACGAAGGGCAGATACCAACAGGCTGAAATTCCTAAGTACAGGCTGAAGCTGGTATTCACCTGTAGCATAATTATTGCCTCGGTTGCCAGCAGTTGTGATTTTGAGTCCTTGACTCAGGTGCAGGCTCCTCCAATGCAGCTGGAAGCTCAAGCAAATGCTTCCTAGGTAGCTGCAGGCTTACAGGAAGCCCCTCACAGTACAGAGCTAACTGTAGGAGACCACTGCCAAATGCTGGAGCAAACCTGAGTGAGCTGGCTGCAGCTCAGGGAGGGTGCTGTTGCCACAAAAGAGCACTGCAGCCTTCTCCAAGGTAGTTTGAAACTCAGACAATTTCTTCCTAATTACTTGGAGATGCACTGGAAACTCAGTGTTGTTCATGTGATGCTACAGTGACATAGTGAGAGCCTTCAACTGGAGTTAAAAAGGAGTTAGAAGGTTTGCTGATTAAGTGAGCACAGTTATTTTATGAACCATTGCTGGACAAGTGTTTTAAGAACACTGGCAGAAAGGCAAATGCTTGCTAGCAATACGGTAAAATCACTGCTACTATTTGAGGTGAGGAGATGGAATTCAGAGAGTAGAGAAAAAGCCAAATGCAAACAAAGAAGAACCCTGCCCCAAATAATACAAGGTAGGAATTTCTGATCTAATAACTACCTATATTAGTGTTGCAGCTATAATATTAGTATCATTTTGTGCTGTAGGAGAGGAAAGGTAAGATAAAATTTTGAGTATGTTTACTGTTGTACTGTACTTTGCTAAACCACACATCACTGACCTAAGCACACGCAACTCTGCACATAAGCCCCAGTGGAAGGACTTCAGCAAAGGCAAAGCCCTAAGTAAATAAGCATGTAGTTACTGTGCATATTATACACTGTTTGAACTTGTATAGCAAGGCAAACTCAGATATTGAGAAAAGAGAAAGAAATAGACTTTCAAACACTAAGATCATAGGAAGAAAATTCTTGTGAACTTTAGGTCCAACAAAAACTGAAATACATCTAAAGAACTGTAACACTGACATACAATTCCTGAAATTTCATGTCCTAGTAGAAGCTTTGAGAAGTAACCAGAATAAGTTCTTCAAGATAAGCAGCCCTTTTCCTAAACCAAATTTTCTAAATTAAACTCAGTCTTTCCAGAGTGCCACAAACAACTGTGTTCTTAACTGGCAACCTTCCAGACTAACTTCCAACCAGGCTACTCAAGCCGTATTTCCATTACTAATGTAGAAAATCCTGTAAGGTTTTTTCAGCATCACCCTTTTAATATCTCTTATGTTCAAACTGGACTTCCTTAAATGTTTCAGTTTTTCAGCATTCGCATGTAAAACGCTTGAATTCCTTTCACGAACTTGTCTTTAGAACAATGAAAAACATACTAAATCTGTTAATCTCAGTCTGACCTAATGGTAAGAGAAGCATAACAGATTTTCAAATCATACAAAGATTCATATGTATGTGGGGAGTAAGGTGGAGAAGAAATCTTTGATATTAACTGAAGCAACATACGTAAAACTAGCTTATTTGGCAGGAATCAAATAGAAAATACGACAGAGCTGGGGCTGAGAGGAAACACCTTTGCCTCATGCAGCTCTCTTTTAAGCAGTTACAAAAGGCAGCAGGAACTGTGATCAAGGTATGAACATAGCTTTACACAGTGCCCATGACCTGGCACAGCAGTGAAATTTGAATAGCCTGTCCCTTTGGATTAGGGTCGTGAGCACTTCTTGCACTTTGCAGCATCTATGGGAGCTGCATGCTCACTTTCTTGACCAAACAGGCCAAGGTTGCTTAGCTTCTCACCTCACCCTGTTTTCTGCCCCATCTCTCTGCTTTTCTTTTGGTTTATAGTAACTTTCAGTCATGGTGGACATAGTCACTGGGTAGGTAATTTCATGTAATTTCAGGGTTATACAGACTTCAGTATTACGTATGCAGTGGCCTACTCTGAATTGTCTTGGCATCTGTGAAATAACAAACTGCTTTCAAAAAAAGGGATGGAATC